ACCACTGAGCAGTGAAGAAGAAGGGCGAAGCACCCGCGCCACGAGGCCGATGCCCACCGTTCTCATTGTCTGTAAAATTGCGCCTGAAATGCGATGGCACGACATCGTTGTCGTCAACGTTTGAGGTGAAATGAGCTGCGAGAATGAAGACTGTGCGCCAGAGTAAGAATACTTGGAGAGACCCCCGGCACATTGTTGATCTCCTTACACGAATGACACCGCACTCAGCTCGACTTTGCCGTTGTAAACTTCCAATTGCTTCCGGTTGTGGCCCGGACCGTAAGGTGATGACATCACGTGCAAGTTATTGGTATCTTGGGGATTTGAGGAAGAAACACTCAACATCGGAGACCAATCGCAGCTTGCTTTTTTCCCCCCAATTGAAATTGTCAAGGTAGAGGGAGTTACAAACAATCCCGAAAATATTTGCCGTTTTCTTGAAAACTGAAGCGAGAACCCTGGACGACATGGTAGGAAAATGCAGTCAAATTTTCCTGATGTAGGAATGCATTTTTTCTTTCTTTATGACTTAGGCGATCCTCATCACGGCCGGCGCGAAAGCAAAGCTGCTCGCACGCGTTGTTGTCAAACTTGTTTCCCTTCGGCCTCCACCCACAAACTGGCTGCAGGCAAGTGTGTGCGTTTTGCAGCGTGCACAAGAAATAGCACAAGGTTTGAAAATCACATACCCGACTTGATGCATCATGAATTAATAGTATGTCCCAATTACACAAGCTCTCATTATAATACCAAAACGGCAAATGAGAGCACGCTTGTGCAGCATGTGCATCATCGGGAGGAATATTTCGGGCATTGCAGCGCAAACCTGAGATGAGCAATGCATAGACTTGCCGCCGATAAACTAAAGTTCAGCTTGAATTAACACGGCAGTTTCTGACATCACTCAGAAGACCACGCCCTCTCGAAGGCACAAAACACGCAAACAGACGGCAGTTTGCGTGCGTGACTTTTGGCTTTGTCGCCGTGCTGAGCACAACTCAGACTGCCGTTGATCCAAATTTGTTGCGTGTTTGCAGCGGCAGCGCAAAGGCGCGCCGTCAAGACTGGTGCAAGATGGCCGGATGGACCCAGACCCATTTTTTTTCGGCAATCAAAATTTAAAATCATTGTTGAAAAACAATCAAGAACACTTCGCCAATTTGCAAATCCAAACCTTCGAACCACACGCGCGCAAGGGGTCGACTTTAGTTTTGAGTTGTAATATCGCCATTGACCACTAGATGGTAGACATGGCTGAGTTGTCCTTACGCTGGGGCTTATTCTGCCCAATATTTTAACACGAGTACGATGAGCATTTTTTTTCCTCTGGCCCTCTGGGTTTGTAAAGGACAAACATAGCACGTCAATTCTTTTGTTAATACATGCACTGAGAAATTTGTTATCTCCATTTTTCATCACCGCTTATGCTGAAGAGAGCCATGGGGGGTTGATGGAGCCTATCCCAAGCTGACTTTGGGCGGAAGGCAGAACACACTCTGAACGGGTCGCCAGTCCGTCGCAGGGCACACAAACGAGCATTTGCGGCTCGTTTCAAAAACCAAGTGTTTTAAGAGCCCATATTTTGCACATGCATGCACAGATTTGGTCCATAATTAAAAATCGCATTTTTTGTCATACATGTCGTTCCGAAGTGTGTGGTTCTATATGTCGCACTAATGTAAAATTGTGCTCCCCACCCCCCGCCCACTCCCTCACATAATTTAGGTTCCCCATCTCTTACCCAGAGCTTTAAATGAAAAAAAAAACCCATCCAAATGAACACACATGGCTCCAGGCCAGGCAAACTCGGGAGGGGCAGAAAGAGAACGAGTGGAAGAAATGTTTTGACTCAGCAGGTTGGGCAGGAGGTGTGGTTACAGGAAAAAAAACAAAAAAAAAAAACAAGGCACCTGGAGCATGGGTGCAGTCCGCTCCAGCGGGACCAGGAGCAGCAGCAGCAGGCAGGCGGAGGAAGAGCCAGCGCCAGCGCCAGCGCCTCGTCTGTCCTGTCTCTGGCGTGTCATCTCGCTACCATGAGTCAGTACGGTTCTCACAACGCACTGAGCATGAACATGAGCTCGAACCGCAGGGGAGAGCCGACCACCGGGGGGTCCTTCCGCTACACCCGCAACGAGTTGGTGCAAGGAGCCGGCAACGGATACGACCACTTCGTGGACTCGTACCACACGGTGACCAAGACTTCTGCAGGAGGGGGGATGGCGGGAGACACCATTGGAAGAATGACAAGCACAACGGGAGGCGCAATTAGGTACACTTTGCAAAAGACATTTCAAGTTGACACCACAACACCATCTTTCTTCACAGCAGCGCCTGGCAGAACAGCGAACGTAAAAGAAGGAAATAAGATCACGGAACACAGAACTGCGAAACCGCCTCGCTAAATCATTTAGATACAAATGAAACGGAGGCTACTTTTGAAGAATCTTCTCCCGTCACCACGGCACCGACGGTCGTAATGGCAACCTTGGCGGCGGCGCGATGTTTTCCTGCTTTTTCGAGAGGCGTCGGGGCGTTTAATCCGACGGATACGCATGACGGGTGGCATCGTATTTATATCGCAGGAGGAAGTCGTCCGACACGAGCAATGAAACGCGTTCCGACGCGCCGTCGCCAACGCCGACTGGCTCCATCTTGGGATTTACGAGCCACTTCCGCCTCTTCGTTTATTTATTTATTTGCACTTGGGTAACTCTAACAGCAAATGCGTGAATTTGCTTGCGCGGGAGCGTAAAGGGAACACGGTAAAATGAGACACCTGCAAGGAACTTGCATCAAAGTATCACGTGACAGCAGCTTTCCAATATTTTGTCTTTCCGAGATAGCCCGGTGATTGGCAGCCGACGGCATTCAACACTCGCACCTTAAACTTTTGTCTTCTGCGGATCTTCTGTGTGCTGTTTAACTTTGTCTACTAGGGCGTTAAGAACAGTGCAGCAATAATGGCGACTCATAACGATGATGAGTTGGAGTCAAGGTTTTGCATTCACAAAACACAGACGAAAATTATCCTGACTGATGGCGATTGGACTTTGTATTTGAGACGTTTTCATTGCGGACAACGGTTCTTACGGAGAGTCCACGCTGGTATGTAGCTGCAGCGCACCACAATAGGTGCCGTTTTGGATGGCAATTACCTCAGTGAGGTACAATACTCAACGTCCGGGTCACCACACGGCTCTCGCTATGGAACAGTCAAGTTCTGCATTCCCCACAAACGAATTTCTCGTTAGATAGAGCGGGGGGAAATGCCATCATGGCCGCGTGCAACGTTTTGTCAAGGCGCGATTTTCTGTATGCACGCAGTTTAAAAAAAACACACACACACACAAGTGACAAGGTTCTTTCTTTGCTTTGCAGCGGCCTCACTGACATCCATCAGAGGGCCGTGTCGCTTCAAGCGCAGTGCCAGGAGGACCTGAGGCGAGCCGAATTTGCCCTACAGTCTGTGAGTTAATGCGCGGCTTTTCTTCTTGACCTTTTTTCATTTTTAGAAACCTGTCCAAAAATCAGTTTGACCAAGCCTACTTTGTCAAGCCAAACTTATTATTCAGCCTATGTGAATTTTTTAAAATGAAAACATTTCGCGTTGGTGGTGTAAAAAGATGAATGAAAAATTATGCGTTGACTAAAATATTATAAAAAAACCCCATCTAAATTAGAAACGACAACAATTGCTGATACATTCTAAAATGCTTTGACATTTACGGAGAAAAAAAAAAAAATCATCTCTCCCAAGACACCCGTCAAGAATGAATGTGCAGGAAAGAGTGGCATCTAGCGGCCAAGGCGCAGATTACAACCCATTCATCCCGCCCCGAGGAAGAAACTAAAAATAGTTGCCCTCATGAGTGTTTTTCTTTGCCATAACGTTTACTTTTTTTTTCTTGGTACTTCTTCAGAGATTTCTACTGTTTCTGTGCAAATGAGATTCTTGGGTTTATTTTACAGCATTGCATCTTCACATTTCAATGTTGTTTTTTTTTTCAATAAATCTTCAATGATGCATGTCAGGGAGGTAATATGGCTGATGCAGAGCAGCACATGCTGAGGGCAAAAGACACGATTGACCAACTGAAGACCTACGCAATGGATCTGAGGCAGATGGGACAGCCAAGTGACAACGTTGTCAGAAGGTAAGCAAGCATTTTCAATTGAATGCTATGTCCTAACAAAAAGAGTATTCATTTAGCTAACAATGGAAATGTATATGTTATGTTACATTCTGTTAAAAATGAAGAGACTTGAAAACAATGTTGAGACTTTTGGCATGTGCCATCAGACCTGACCTGACCCAAACCAAAGATCGAAATGTTGGGTTAGAAATCTTTTGTAGTTAAAATGAGGTACTATAAACCATTCAAAACACATCGTGGTATGATGCCGTGTACTTGTACGGAACTGCAAACTACACCAAAACAATTCTTGTATGGTTTATGGAATACTTGCCCGACATTGTTCATGAGACCTGAGCAGTGGAATTAGCAGTAGCATTTTAGCCCAGCGGTTTGCGCTGGGGGTGTGCAACTCTTCAATAAAAGATGGTTTGGGGCACGATACGATTCAAGGATGCTCCAGTGGAACGATTCAAGTCGAGGTGATTAAGATTCCGTTCGAGATGGTCCGCCTCGAGTGGCGAAGATGCAATGAGCCTCCTGTTGTCATTTTACAATATGAATGAACTCCGATCCAAGCCACTCGAAAGTGCTGCCGCTAAGAAGTACCTGGTGCTGCAAACACGCCAGCAGAACACATGTGGGCTTGGACAGTAACCGCAGGCAATTGCAAGTATTCCCAAGCGTCCCGCCTCTCCATTTCTATCCGTCTCTCTCCAGTTGGGAGATTTGTAACGATCAGCTGAAGGGGGTCCACTTGGCCATGGCTGGCTCTTTGCAAAAGCGGAGGAGTGTGAAAGCAAGCTCTGGTTCTTGGGAGGAGCCGGGGAGGAGCTTCCAAGACGCCGTGGCCTGGATTGCGCAGCAAAAGGTGGGCGCAGTCACCTGACCCCGACAGACGACTCGCAGAAAATGTTGCGTCGAGATTCACGTGGGCGCATGGTTTTTGCAAAACTCGCAGGTGCAGAGATGTGCACTGTACTGATGTTTTGTTTTTCGAACAGCGTCTGATTGAAACTACATACTGGGGAGAAGATCCCGCTGGCATCGAGAAGAACCTCATCAGCCACCAGAGGTTTCACAACTCGCTCCAGAACAGCCCGCAAGTGGACCGAGCCCGGAGTGACCTGGTGGGTCATGTTGTTGTCACTATTCCAAACCTTGCTGATCGTAGAAGCAACAAAACCATCTGGTCCCTCCGATATCGACAGTAGTTTCTCCTTAAATAGTCAAGCGTTCGTACAAGCTCCCTGAGCATCTCTCGGGCCACAGCCAGCAACATCAGACATGCGCACGACGGCCTAAGCGGTCTCACACCCGTCCAAAACCTGACATCCAAAAAGCGGACATGATGTCGATAAGTAAGCACAAAATTCCAGCCACTAAAAGCCTACTGACTACTCGCTGAATATCGTCCGCCAGGTTAAGAAAGGAGACAAAGGAAACCTTCATGCTTTGGACCAGGAGTGGGACAGTCTTAAGGTGAGCCAAATGCCACTGATGTCTCTTGGCGGTGGCGAGCGCGTTTGTGAATCTCCCGAACCCTCCATCTGTGGCTGCAGCAAATGTCATTTGCGCGGATGCGGCGGCTGGAAGACCTGCAGCAGATTATTCAGGAACTCTCCAAAGAGATCATGTGGGTCAACGACAAGGAAGAAGAGGAGTTGATCTTTGATTGGAGTGAAAAGAACCTCGACCAGTACATCCCCCGGAAGCAAGAGAGCTATTCCGTTCGTATAAACACGCGCACATTGCTACACAACACCTCGAAAGGAAAAGGCGCTCCGCGTAGCGTTTTCATGGAATTCAATTCCAAGAGACAAAGGCCTTTTTATGAAGGGCGGCGAGTCTCGTTAGGAGCAATTACATGGGTCAGGTGACTTTTTGGCAGCGTACCCGGTCATCCAATTAGCCGGCTAAACCGCCAACGCTCTGCGCTCCGCAGAAACTGATGAGTGCCCTTGAGGAGAAAGAAAAGCACCTGAATAAGCTGAAAGTGAGAGTGGATGCCCTGCTGAAGAACAAGCACCCGGCGTCGGACAAGATCGAGGTCCGTTCTGTCTGATATGAAAGCCGTTCCAACCGATGGCCCGCCGGCTCCTGTTGGTGGCGTCCGCACCCTCGCTGACGCCATCGGCGTATCTTTTCTTCTCCAGGCATACAGGGACACGCTGCAGACTCAGTGGAGTTGGCTCCTTCAAATTACCAAGTGCATTGACGTGCATCTGAAGGAGAATGCAGCATACAACCAGGTCATTCTTCAAAACTCTTACCTCGAACCGCGTAGGAGTGCACGGTCGAGAATAATCGGGCTCTACCCTCAACTGGTTGGACGACGTGAATAATGACTCATTATTTTCAGGCCGGGTTTGTCTTGCAGCCTTTGTAGATTGCATTCAAAAGTGTAACTGTACCAAAGAAAAAGTTTGTTGGCACTTAACGAAACATGAACACACACAAAAAAAAAAAAAAATCGAAGAAAAGGAAGGCACGGCGTCCGTCGCGGCCAAAGCCATCCGTCGCTCTTTTCAAACATGGCCAAACAAACCGTTTAATGATGAGCAACTTCCGCTATGTTAGATACGCCATTTCATTTGTATTGTACGCCTCCTTTTTTTTTTTTTTAGTTTTTTAAGGAGGCAAATGAGACATTCAGAACCCTCCAGGGGCAACAGGAATCCATTCGGAAAAAGTTTACCTGTGACAAGAACACTCCACTGGAGAACCTGCTTGAGCTGCTCAAAGGATTGGAGGTATAGTTAAATTTTTTTTTTTTTTAACAACAATAAAAGATGACCCGAAGTAAAATTGCTGAATATGAAATTGACAGTATGCGTCACGCCGGCAGTTTTAGGCACAGTTGTTAGTAGAGCAAATCTAGCATTGCTTGTCATTGAGGGGATTAGATCCTTTGCAAAGGTTTTTCTGTCTCACTGAAAATATTTGTCACTTTATTTTGAAGAGGGAGCGAGAGACGTTAAGAGATCAGAAGAGGCAAGTTCAGCATCTTGTGAACAAGTCCAAGAGCATCATCAGACTGAGATCCAGAAACCCAGAAGAGAAGAGCAGCCGACCTGTGATCGTCAAAGCCCTGTGTGACTTCAAACAAGACCAGGTCAATGTCTGGACACGTCAGTCTCAAACATATCCCCACTTTGAAGACTTCACACACTTGCGCAATCACGCTCACGCTCTCGGAAATACGTGAAGGTTTTTCAACTGATTTGTACAGGTTGTAGGTGGACTCAACTGTATTTCTACCGCACTTTAAAACAACCACCGCTGTATACAAAGTGCCGTACATGGAGCCAAAAGAATTCAGACAAAAAAATTAATCACCAAGACAGCAGGAAGCACATAAACAGTCAAATTAAAATCGAGTCTCATGCCGATTCAAAAGCCAAAGAATAAAAATGAGTTTGAAAGATGGTGGGGGGGGCTTGTCTAACGTTTAGCGGGAGGTCATTCCTAAAAGAGGGACTGGCAACGGAAAAGGCTCCATCCCCTTCTGCGTAGGAGCTCCGAGAGGTCAGGTGGGGAGAGGCCATTGAAAGATTTGAAAACAAATCATAGCATCGTCAAAAGAACTCTAAAATGTAGCCAGTGAGTAGGAGCGATGTGCTCCCTCTTAAGAGTACCAGTCAAAAGACGAGCGGCAGCATTCTGGACCAACTGGAGATGCTTGATGGAGGATTGGCTGATGTGACAAAGGCTTGAAGGACTGTATCTCCAAGTGCTCATAAAAAATTTTTTTAAAAAGGAGAGGCTTGACTTGAGCCAGCTGCTTAAGATGAAGGAAGCTGGATTTGACAACGGCATCAATTTGCCGGTCCAATTTCAAATCACTGTCCAGTTAAAGTTGCATGAATAGTAGAAAAACGTTTTGAAATGATTTCTCTTGCTCGATATTTTTTTAATACCTGTCATTTATATAAAATAGAAATGAAAGCCAATCTACGTCGGTCGTTCAAGATGGGGCAATTGTGTTTGGTCTGGAAACTACAGAAGGTGATCTGTAAGGGTGACGAGGCCATCTTGAAGGACAACAGTCAGCGCAGCAAGTGGGCCGTTACGGGCCCGGGCGGGTTAGATATGGTGATCCCGTCTGTGTGCTTGATCCTGCCTCCTCCCAATCCACTCAGCATCAATCTGGCTATCAAGTAAGTGAAACACATACACCCCCTTTTCCAGCAAGCGGGATGGGACAGGATAGGTTTTTTTGTTGTTTTTTTCCCAATTGTAAAGTTGTCTGAAAATTCCCAATTGCAACATACACGTTGCAGTATTCGGGTGAGTTTGTGTTATAAACACACTGTTGTCTACTGAACTATTTTCATGTACGTTTTTTTTTTTTTTTTTTTGCCTTTCCCGCACGGCAGAGGAAATGAGTCCTATTCATTGCCGCTCTCCTGCGTTGTGCCGGTCCAATATGTGTCACGATAGGCTCATCGCTGAAGCTGCGATCATTTTCCCGCTTACGTTTCTTGTGGGAGAAATCTGTGTGTTCGCCACGGGGCTGTAACATTCTCAACTCAAAGCAAAAACACGATGAATTTCTGTCCGTTCAACAGAAACGAGCAGTGCTATGAGTCCATCATGTCATTCTGGAACCAGTTGTACATCAACGTGAAGAGTCTCATCGCCTGGCACTACTGCCTTCTGGATATCGAACGCATCAACTCGCTCACCATCTCCATGGTAGGTGACGATGAATCTCTCTTTCATAGGAATTTGATCTTTTATTTCAGACAGCAAATCTATCAGTCATCAGATGAGAGCACAATCGTTGCATCGTTCAGGGTTGACATGTTCGCCCCAGTTTCATGCATGCAAATTCACGAGTATGCCCGGACTCATGTGTGCACTGACAGTCTACATGCCGTCTTCTAAAACGTAGAAAAAGCAACTCGAGAATGATAAAAGAAAAGGCCCATCGCTCATCTCATGTGAAACAGTTTCGGATGTTTGCAGTTCCCTCCACGGTCTGACTTGTGTTGTTGTTTTCCCCTCGGCCGCGCCTCACGTTAGTTTTCATTCTTTTCAGCTGGCTCGGATGAATCCCGAGGAGTACTCGCAGTTTATCAACAGCCTGGAGACTCACTATGAAGAGTTCAAACGGAGTTGCCAAGGCTCCCAGATGTTTGTTGAAAATGACAAGAGGGGCATCGAGAGCCAGTACAACGCGGCTCAGGCCTACTACGGGACCCTCGTGGTGCAGTTGCCCACTTACCGTGAGTCACGCATGCTTGTTCAAGTCAACGCCATCCATCAAATGTTCCTCTTTCAATCACCACACTTCAATGTTGTAGTTTGCTGATTACAATCGCAGTATTTTCAACGTAAATAGACCATCAGGATTTGTTTTTTTTCCCCATCACAGCCCTGCATGTTTCACGTGTTGGACTCAACTCGATTTGAACTTTTCCTTGTTCTTTTGGTTTCTTTTCTTCATCTAGAAGCCCAACAAGCGCAACATCAGCTCATTATAATGACAGCGGCTGCCGACGAAGATGCCAGACAGCTCGAGGAAGAGCGGCAGAGAACCGAGCTGACAAAAGTGAAGAAAGAGGTCGTGAAAGTGTCCAAGGCGGAGCCGCTGAAAAAGAAGGTGGCCTCATCTTCTCACACTTTAACAGAGCTGCAGGCACTCAGATTGAAGCTGGCGGCAGCGGAGGGCTTGCTGAGTCAGCATGTTCACATCTGCTTGGGAGATGACGGAGTCAAAGACTGTGGCCTCAAAATCACACACTTGGAGGTCAGCGCAAACGGGCAGCAAAAGGACAAGCCCCGAAAGGGTCACCGCTACCGCACACTGATTGTTTTGGGGTTTTTGTTTTTGTATTAAAGAGCGCGCTGCTTGACGTCAACGCACTAAAAGAGGAGTACGCAAAGCTGCGGGAGAATATTACGAAGGCGCTGGAGAGCATGAACGATTCAGATAAAGCTCAATTCTTACGCAGTGAGCTCGAAGTTATCACACAGCGTCTGGACAGTCTAGAAAGCAACTTATCCAATTACCTTCTGCGGTAAGACTGCGCAATCTTCTGACTCGTGTTTTTCAGTTGATGAGTGGCCACGGAAACCACTCCGAAGCCCAACGCAAGCTTCATTAAGACGTCAAACTATCGGATGGTTTAAGTCTGTGTGAAGCATTGAGACAATACAATATAGCGGGATTTATCTTTCCCTCTGATTGATTTATTTCTGTTTCCAGACTGCGGGCTCTACGGGACTTGCTGCAAAGTATGGCACGTGCTGAAGATATCGTGAAAGTTCATGAAGCCAGATTGACAGAGAAGGAGACCACTTCTCTGTTGCCGGGAGAGGTCAACGACTACTTGAGGGCTCTGAAGGTAGATACTCCTGAGAGATAGATGGTATCAAGTGCCGCCGCTGTGCAAAGGACACAATTTGGACAAAAGTCTTGGGACACACCTTTTTTGTGGGAACACATTGAGCAAGGGCTGTTTTCTGCGCCAGTGCGCAAAAAAAGATTCGCTGACTTCATCACCATCAAACATCAATGGCCTCACTAATGCTCTTCTCGGAGAATGGTCAACAAATCCCACAGCTCTTCTAGAAAGAGCCCACTATACATATATAAATAAAACTGAAGAATTCAGTTCACCAGTGTGACCATGCTGTTGCTATTTTGCATGTGGCGTGTAGAATATTCAGGACGAGTTGGATGGGAAACGCGATGTTGTGGCCTCTATGGAAGCAGAACTTGCCAAGGCGCTTCACTGGAATGGCCAGGTGGGGGGGCCCCTCTACAGGTGCGACATGATGCTGTCCAATTGCGCCGAGCAGGTGGGCCAACTGTCAGACCGCTGGAGACGAATCCAGGCGCAGATCGATACCAGGTACGGCATATTGAAATGTAGCCAATGAAGGTTGCGAGCGAAGATTCGGAATTCTCCGCCTCCTGTGAATTCCTTCATTTCAGAGTGCAAGACTTGCAGCGTTACCTGCCTCAACTGGAGCACTACAAGCAGTCCAGCTCCTCCTTCCATGACTGGATTGGGGACACTGGCAAAAAGCAAGCCATCCTGCAGGCCACCCACATTCAGAATGTTCAATCTCTCAAGGACCACATCAGCAGTCAGAAGGTGCTCTAAGATATTATTTATCATCGTGATGGGTGCCGATGTCACATTTTTTTGGGCCATCTGACATCTTTATGTTTGTAATGTTGTCAAGGCTCTCAACGCAGAAATCAAAGCAAAGAGGGAAACCTTAGAAAGTGTCCTGAAAGACAACGACGCCTGTGTCACCGCCATCAAGGTAAGGAGGTCAACACTTCACTGATTGTTTCTGATCATGACGAACTCTTCCTGAGAGAGTGGCCCTCATTTATCAAAAGGACCTGCAAAAGTAAAGAGAGTGGGCGCGATTCACCAATGTCGGTAAGCGGTGACCTTGAACTGCAAGAAATAATCATTCAACTATCAATAACGAGAAACGCAAACGGGTTAAAAGACGACCACTCGCAGAAGTCTTCTCAATCACGCATTGGTGAATGCCAATTGTTGCAAATTTGGACGTACAACACATTCGTTTGAAAGATTTGTGGATAAGCCAACTGGTCTCGTCATGGCCTGCAATCTCTTTCCTTGATGATTCATTACTACCATCGACGATTGTTACTCAACTCAATTTTGTTTCTAGAGCCCTTGAAAACAACCACCGCTGTCAACAAAATGCTGTACACGGAGCAAATATCATATGTGCAACGAAAGAATCAATGAACAACATAGACAGAAGAAAGCACAAAAACACTCAAACTAAAAATCAAGTCTCATCCTGAGTCAGAAGCCAAAGACTAAAATGAGTTTTCAGACGAGTTTTGACATCATGTCTAAAATGACCTGATGTTGTTTTCCAGGATTATGAAACAGACCTGGCCAGTTACACCTCTGGCTTAGAGACTCTGCTCAACATCCCGATCAAGAGAACAATGCTAAGATCGCCATCCATGGATCTTATTCAGGAGGTACGGTGGACAGACAGTTGAATCTGTCAATCTAATACAAGCATTTGTATGCGACACTTGAGTCATCCCCAAGTGGTATTTCTCCTAGGCTGCTCAACTGCAGACCCGTTACATGGAGTTACTTACTTCGTCTGACAACTACTTGAAATTCATAGGAGAGCTTCTCAAAAACATGGAGGATCTTAAGGTACCAAAGTTTGGATTTGTTAATATTTCAATGAAGTAGATAGAGCTGTACACCAGAACATTTTTTTTACATTTTTAAACTGAAGTGACCTTGAACGACTCTGCCTCGGTTCCAGATTCGAAGCACTCGGATTGACGTGCTCGAGGAAGAGCTTCGCATGTTGAGGGAGGCTCTTCAGGATCGCAAGAGCAAGAACAAGGCTCTCGAAGATGCCGTGGCGCGTTATCAACTCGAGCTCTCCCAGTCACAGGAAAAGCTGCTGTCAGTGGAGGAGATGAAGCGAACCACCGCTCTGCAGTGCGACGCCGCAAAAGACAGCCTCGATGACACTCACAACCAGCTGGCGGACCTCGCTGATCAGGTGACCCGCCTCAACTACTTGCTCGAGGAAGAAAAGAGGAAGAGGAAACTGGCAGAGGAGCGCTACACCAAACAACAAGAGGAGTATGAGTCTGTCCTTAGGAAAAGGCAGACAGAGTTAGAGAGTGTCAGCTGGTCCAAAGTGGAAGTGGAAAAGACGATGGGCAATCAAGAGCATGAGATGAAACAGCTGCGGCGGAAGCTCGAAGAGGAAACCTCCAAGGCGGCGGAGCTGCGGAAGGAGATTTCAAAGGTAAGAAGCCAATGCGATGCAAAGATCGATAACTTAAAGCTCGACTATGACTCCCAGATCCACGTCAGTCACACCACAATTCAGCGGCTTTCGGCCCAGAGGGAGGACGATGCACGTCAGCTTCAGCTGCGATATGACAGGATCCAAGCAGAGAGGAGGGTTATGGAGGAGGAGCTCGGGAGGCTGAAGATGGCTACCGCCCATGCAGAAGAACGACTGAGGAGGGCGGAGGAAGAAGCTCATCGGCAGCGCTTGGTCATCGCAGAAGAAGGGCGCGCGAGAAGAGAAGTGCAAAATGAGATTGAGGTTTTGATCAAGCAGCAGGAAGAGCGAAGCAACAAGCACCAGGAGGCTCTGGCCGAAGTGGAACAGGACCTAGAGCAGAAGATGGAGCAGTTGGCCTACGTCACCCACAGTCTGGAAGAAGAAGTGCGAAGGCGGAAAACCACTGAAGAAGGAAAACATGTGCTGGAGCAGACCCTGGCTGAGCTTCAAGCAAAGCTTGCCAGTTCAGCAATGGCTGCGGCCCAACTGACCGAGTGCGAAGCGGAGCGTCAGAATGTGCGTTTGACGCTGGAGAGGGAGATTAGGGATCGGAGTCGCATAGAGGAAAACCTCAACCGGTTACAGGGTCGCGTAAAGGACATTCAATCTGTGCGAGATGGCCTTGAGCTCCAGTTGGCTCACCTCAGGGAAGCGAACCAAGAGGAAGTGTCGAAAAGAAGGCAGATTGAGACAGAGTTAGAAAAAACCACGACGACGATGAGAGAATACTACTGCGCCATGACCGCTTTACGTCAGAAGCGAGAGCAAGTCGAGGCATCGGAAAGGAAAGGTGAAGAACGGTGTCTCATGATGCAGGAGGAACTGGAAAGAAGCATGGAAAAAAACAAGACCTCTGTGGAACAGATATCACAACTCAGCACTGAGCTCAAAGCCCTGCAGCAGCAGCTGCTACAGGAGCAAGCTAAAATTCAAGAGGTGACCCAAAGAAATGAGGGTCTGTGTAGAACTTTAGAGGCAAAAACTGAAGCTTTAAATATGAACTCTTCTGAAGTTCAAAGTTTGCAGGAGAAGACTGAAACCTTGGCCAAAGAGAGACTCAGGCTGGAGGAGGAGCTGAGGACAACCCGACACGACAACGCAGAGCTCTTGAGATTCAAAGAGGAACATGATGATGAGGTCTCCTCCCAAATTACGGCCCTAGAGCTGCAGCTGCAGGCCAGCGAGCGTCGCAATGTTGACTACCGCAACCTTGTCTCCGAGCTCTCCTTGGAGAGGGCCAACCTCAAACTGGAGACTGAGAAAATACAAATTCAGGCCGCTGAGGTACTTGCAAGTCCGATAGCTGCCAGACTGCTCCCATCTTTCCAGATGAATCAAGTAGTCTTCACTGCCACTAGACCACTTCTTGATTGCTTGCATGAGCCTCAACATCGTTCTTCTCTCGTAGCTTTTGAATTAGCGTCTGATTTCCCAAAAGTTTGAGTGGTGTCCATATTTTACCCGCGTGCAGTTGGTCGCACAAAATTTTGCCGTCTTCAATGACTAATCAATGAGCATTTTTTGCCTGCGCAGACCTCTGACTGGTATTTCAATGAGTTGGGACATCTATTTGTATATTTTATATTTCTGATTTCATTCTTTGGACTTTGGAAATCAGAAGTTGTTTCATCTGCACGTTGAAATGAAGCACATGACTTGTCCTTCAAGCGTAGCCGATGGGCGTTCATCTCTCCGCACTGTTCTCTGCCCCCCTGACCACGATTCAAAAAGATTTGGCGTGCAACATTTTTCACTCTTTTGCTCGTTTTTCATGTTTGCCCAGAGCCCCATCAAGTCACAAAAGTGATGTGTGCTGTTTTGAAACCCAGAGAACATAATTGTTATAATTATCGTCTAATTATTTGATTTTACGAGTTACACTAATTACGTAAAATGAAATCTGACAAAAAGCAAACCGGCTCTGGGCCAAGTTTGTGAGTGTGTTTTCATTATACGGTAGGTACGGTTTTTTTTTTAGCACCTTGTGCATGAATGCATATTATGGATATTTCTAAACATGCCTGAGTTGACCAATTTTCATCTTTTACTCTTTTTTTTCCCCATAGACATCAACCGCAATGCTCTCACTGCAGTCACAGTGCAGTGAGACTGAGAGAGAGCGAGATGCGCTGCTGCTGAAACTCCAGTTGTCTGGGACAGACAAAGATAACCTGCAAAAGCTGGAGGAGGAACACAGACACGTGAAGCTGTCTCTTGAATCTGAGCTTCAAAAGAATCAACGTGTACAGGACGAGAATGACAGGCTGAAGAGAGATTTAAGTTACTGGAAGGAACAATGCCAAAGCAAGCAGGGTCTTGTTGACCAATATGATGCGGACAAGGAACGTCTGGAAAGGGAAAGGAGGAGTTTGGAAAGGGAGATAGAGAAGCTTCGAAAGGAACTGAGCGACAGTGAGAAAACATATCGAGGGAAGCTGGCAGTCCTCCAAAAAGAAGTCACAGAGTTGACGATTCTAAGACAAAATGCGCAGGATGAGGTCAGGAAAAGTAGAGAGCTACCGATGTTGGATCCCTCCGCTGTCATTTTTGATGGCGTCCGCAAACCAGTGGCAGCAGGCCAATTGCTTGACTGTGGTATTTTGGATAAAGCCACCTTTAACCGGCTCATTCGAGGGCAAAAGTCTGTTCCTGACGCGTCCGACGACATCAAAGTTAGCCTCAAAGGAACAGGCCCAATAGCGGGGGTGATCATTGAAAACCCACAAGGTGACGGTTTGATTTCTGGATGTCCCTATAAGATAAGCCTCAGTGAAGCAAAGAAAGAGCGCCTCCTACCACCGGATGCCGTTGACCTGCTGCTGGATGCTCAGGCAGCCACGGGCTACATCATTGAACCAAGAACTGATCAAAAGCTAACGGTCGAGGAGGCAGTTGCCGCCGGAGTGGTGGACCCAAGAGACCAAGACAGACTTTTAGTGGCACAGGCTGCTGCTGTTGGCTACAAGGATCACGGTGCAGTCAAACCACTTTCCACGTACGAGGCCTTGAGAAGGGGACTGATTGACAGGAAAACGGCACTGCGTTTATTGCAGGCCCAGGAGTGTGTTGGAGGCATACTGGATCCAAATCTCAGCGTGTTCCTTCCCAAAGTCACGGCTATTGATCGTAGTATTTTGGATGAAAACCTCGGCTACGCTCTGACCCAGAATCCCAAGTGTTACCTTGACCCAGACACGAACCAGGGTGTCAGTTACGGAGATTTGAAGAAACGATGCAAGACCGAGGCTCACACCGGTCTGCTACTGTTGCCAGTCACTGAGCGAAAAGACCCCTCCAAATTGGTATTTGATGGTGTTCGCAAGACAGTAACAGCACAACAACTGTTTGACTGTGGAGTCTTGGACAAAGCGACGTTCAATCAACTAATCACGGGGGAGAAAACTGTCCCGGAGGTGTCTGTGGAAAAGCAGGTTTTCCTCAAAGGGAGCGGTGTCATTGCTGGGGTTTCAGTTGGATCATTCCAAAAAATGTCCTTGACTCAGGCCAAGAAACAAAGTATTCTTTCCCCCGAAAGTGCCGACTTGCTACTTGAAGCTCAGGCAGCCACAGGACACATCATTGACCCACAGACGAATCAGAAATTGACCGTGATTGAGGCATGCGCGAGAGGTGTCGTCTGTCAGGAAGACGAATCCAAATTGTTTGCTGCTGAAGCTGCCGCCATAGGTTACAGAGACCCAAATACTCTGTCACTCTTGTCGGCCGGCCAGGCCATGAAAAAGGGTCTGGTTGACAAGGACACGGCTCTTCGCATGCTTCAGGCTCAAGAATGTGCAGGAGGTATTTTAGACCCTGCCCTCGGTGTATTCCTACCAAGGGACATCGCTATGGATCGAAATCTGATCGACGCAGACCTATACAAGGCCCTCAGTGAGTCTCCGCAATGCTATTTGGATCCAGACACACAACTGCCAGTGAGCTATCTGTCCCTGAAGAAAAGATGCAGAGCAGACACCATCACAGGTTTATTGCTTCTCCCAGAACCGAAAAAACCAACAACCGTCCAAGGGCTTCGGAGTCAGGTGTCTGTCATAGATCTAGTAAATGCCAACCTGCTGGAGCCAACTGATATTAATGAACTGAAAGAAGGGAGATTGACAGGTCAGGACATTGAGTACCGTCTGCGCTCTTATCTGGGCAAGTCCACATGCATAGCAGGACTATTTGACGAAACCACTGATAGGGTGATGACATTTTATGAAGGCATGAAAGGTGGACTCTTGCAACCTGAGACCACTCTAAAGCTTCTCGAAGCCCAAGCTGCCTCGGGTTTTATCGTCGATCCAGTGAACAATAGACACCTCACTGTGAATGACGCTTATAACAGAGGACTATTTGGGCCAGAGTGTCTGGACAAACTGCTATCAGCAGAAAAAGCTGTGACAGGTTACAAACTGCCTGGTACAGAAAAGGTTCTCTCTCTCTTCCAGGCAATTAAGAGGGGTCTAGTTGTGGAAGGCCATGGCATCCGTCTGCTAGAGGCCCAGATCGCCAGTGGTGGCATTATTGATCCTGATCGCAGCCATCGGATTGATATAGATGTGGCCTACAGCAGAGGATACTTGGATGAGGCAATGACTAAGATCCTGACCGATCCGGAGGTTGCTCGTAAGGACTTCTTTGATCCTAACACTGAGGAAAACTTAACTTACATGGAGCTGAAGAAACGTTGCATGACTGATGGAATGACTGGCCTAGTCCTTTTGCCAATAGCGGACAAGGAAAAAGAAGAGGCAACTATGAAAAACACCTTGAGAAAGAGAAGAGTAATAATTGTGGATCCGCAGACTAATAAGGAGATGAATGTCCGCGAAGCATACGAGAAAGGATATATTGACTACAGCACCTACCTGGAGCTGTCTCAGCAGGAGTGTGAGTGGGAAGAGATCACCATCACCGAACCGGATGGTTCCACGCGTTTTGTCATAATTGATAAGAAGACAGGTACAGAGTATGACATCAGTGAACTGCTCGAAAAAAGAGTCATTGATCAGTCAGTTTTTGATCAGTACCGCTCAAGTACGATCACCTTAACACAGTTTGCAGATATCATCACTGAAAAGAGTCAGCGTGGATTGCCACCAACAAGTTCCACATTACCGTCTTCGTCATCATCAGTTATGTCAAAATCTTCTCTCACAAAGATAACTACAACAATACCTCCCACCATTAAAGAGCACAGCTTTGCAACCAGCAGTGGTTCTCAAGTCTCATATGACGCCCCTAACAAAGTATCTAGTGTTTCCGTCACCCTGGCCTCCCCCGTTGAAAGTGTTGGTGGAAAGGATCCCGTGGGCGCCATTTTCGATACAGAGACTTTGGAGAAAATATCAATTACCGAGGCTTTAAATCGCGGCCTTGTTGATACCATTACTGCTCAGAGATTGCTGGAGGCACAAGCGTGCACCGGAGGAATCGTAAATCCAGAAAACGGCCGCCGGCTCAGCGTCCAAGAGGCGTCCCGTCAAGGTATAATTAATGATGATATGGCTGCTAAACTCAAGCCTGCTCAGAAAGTCTTCATTGGCTTTGAGGGTGTCAAAACTGGCAAGAAAATGTCTGCTGCCGAAGCCATGAAAGAGATGTGGCTACCTTATGAGGCAGGCCAGAGGTTTATGGAGTTCCAATTTGTGACCGGGGGACTTTATGACCCTGAACTGGGTTGTAGACGAACCACAGAAGATGCTTTGAAAATGGGTTGGATTGACGGTAGCGCTGCGATGAAACTCCAAGACATCAGAAACCACACAAAGAATTTAACATGCCCCAAGAGCAAACTGAAGATCTCTTATAAGGAGGCTCTGGACAATTGTCTGGTGGAAGAGAGCACCGGGCTGAGAATGCTACCAGCGTCGTCCGTGTCCTCCAGAGGAATTAGCAGTCCCTACAATTTTGCCTCTGCCCCAGGATCCAGCACAGGGTCCAGAAGTGGCTCACGCCGAAGTTCCCGAAGGAGCAGCTTGGATTTAGGCTCCCCCACCTCCTTGTCCACCACCAGTCATACAGTCCTTACCACCCTCTCCACTACATCTCAAATGAACAAAAAATAGAATCCATATAGTCACCTCACCAGTCATATCATCGTTGCTACTTTATTGTTAACAAATCCGAATAGTTGTTGGGGTTTTTTTTTTTTTTTTTTGAGAGAGAGAAAATTCCAAGGGGACCAAAGCAAGGTGAATGTATCAAACAGGCCCAGGGAATGCTCGCATTGGGAAGCCACAACCAGTGTGTACATTTTAACATCTGAGAGTCACTGGCAACTCTCCATTGTCATTGTGTCTCTGTCACTGATATTGACATCCATCCAATAATATGACGCAAAGCTGCAACCGCTTTGTGACCTACTTCTTCCAGTGCTGTCTGAAAAGGGGGCGCTTTTATTTTTATTTTTTTTGCTTTGGGAATATAATGATGCTGCGATTGCATTTATCCTGCATTTATTGTGTTAAACTGTTTGCTTTGCCTGGGGAGGGATTCAAGGTTAATTGCATGTAGAGTGGTACCTCGAAGTTCGGCCGCAATCTCATGTTCGTTTGGGTGGACTGCTCATTGAGAACAATGATTCAGTCGAAACCCTTACGATCAAACGACAATGCATTCATCCTGCAGACAATAAGTACCAGGGGTGTTCCGATCAGAGTTTTTTTTGCTGCCGATACCGATCATCCATGAGTGAGATCAGCCAGTACCAAATCAGCCAGGCTAAAATTAGATTGACTGATGTGCTTTTCGCCATCTTGATCGAGGATACAGTCACAAAAGGTAATGACTGTACGTACAGCAGACATCAGGTCAAACCGGCATTCCACAGATCAGCTCCGCTGGCAGCTCTTTGACTGGGGGTTTTTCGCCCACATTTTGGCCAAACACCCGATTTGACGGGTTTTGCGGGTTTTGAACTTGAAGGTATCACTGTTTAAAAGTACAATGCTCACTTTGTGCTGAAGGTGTTCTTGGTTTCTTGCAGTTTACGGCTTTAAGTTCTGTAACAGTCGATCAATAAAACATTTACCTTTTGATTCTTTGTTCGAGTCAATGAATAAGTGTCCGTAGTTCAACGGTCCTCGTGCCTGATGTAGAACACATCACTCGAGTGTTTGGCAGTAGCGGCGCTACAAGTAGTGCCATAAGTAGCTGAACTACATTTCAAGTATCACCGCACTGCACATCCTCTGGCAAGGAAAACCTCAAAACCCCATTTGGCGAAAGAAACCTTGAGAAGGGACCACAGATGGCGGGATCCCCCTTCCAGGGTGACCAGGCTACAATGGACGCCAAGTGGGCAATATTTCTCACACGGCAGTAATATGGCGTTATACAATGTTCGCTGAAATAGCACGAGAGCACATTTGATGAGATGAAGCGCCACAGGTAGGATAGATACCTTGGGGAAGGTGATTCTGGGTCAATCGGTCAATGCAGAATCCTCAACCACAACGCTTCTGGAGAAGTGACCCGCCACGGATCTTTTTCTGGTGAGTCGGTGCAGAATCCATGTAGAAAAGTATCCTCTGCATGTTTTAGATTCTTCCCTCATCCAGCACCCCTGATGCTCATCTTATCAACAAGCTCTGCAGGGGGCTGATAATGATGCGAACAATTTGAATCTGGTGTTTTGGTTGAGGGGACACACATAAAACACGCAGGATCGATGTTTGACACCTGTGTCCTTTCTCATCTGCTTTTTTCTCGGGAACGTGATTGAAACAGGTGACTGGCTTCCGTTCCAGTCGGTCGCTGATTGGTTCTCTTTTCACTTTGTCCCGCCTGTTCCGTTTTTCGAATGGTTCTTTTCTTTTATAATTCCTTATTCTGACTGAATTTTGAAACTATTGTTTTTCGTTCCTCTTTTATTTGTTGACGGAATTATCAATCAAGTCTAGCTATCGTATCAATGAACTACTTATATTTTTGTTTTCGTTTCATTTTCGTCTGAAAAAAAATGGTGACGAAATGAACGAACTCACATTTTTAGTCAACGAAATTAGTTTTTAGAAAGCTTTTAGTATAGACAGCAGTTTAAATGTTCATGATTAATTTAAAAAACACTTTTTTTAATTGTTTGTTTTTTTAACTATTGGCAGACTTGTTTCCCACTCCATACAGTAGGTGGCGGTAATGCACTCAAAGTTTCTTGCCAACCGCAATAAAACCTGAAAGAAGAAGACAGACGAGCAAGAGTAGTGGGCGCTGCAGTTGAAAGCGTTTTAGCTTGCAATGCTGCAATGTGAACGGATCGTTTATTCGTAAGAATGTGTATTAAAGTAAAGGTCTCTTAACGGAAACAATTAATGTAGCTATGTCGAGGGAGCAACCATTAAGCAGGTTGAAACTGTAGAGGACGCAGCACTCCAGAAACGTCGCTAAAGGGGCAAAAGGTAAGCGCTTTGCAACTATTTGCATCCCTAAATGCACTTTTTACGGTTTCATTTGAAAATTCCGCACGCTGTCAGGTTGTACGTGGGGACGGGGTGGCTTCTGTACACGTGAACCATTTCGGGATTTTCAGCTCTTTGATTTGACTGCTTTGGTCAGGTGGAATTATGGCGGATGACCCACAGAGAAACTTTCGCTCCGCTTATTATGAGAAAGTTGGCTTTCGAGGAGTGGAAGAGAAGAAGTCCTTAGAAATCCTGCTGAAGGATAACCCCCTGGGTAAGTGCCACTTCATGTCATACGATTCGACACTGGGTGACTGACCTTCCTCTTACGGTCAGTATAATGCAATTAGTCAAAATCAAGAAAGTGTCTTTTTATCGTCTAACCCTCCAGAATTATGCAATTCGGGAAGTTCACGGAAACTGTGTGACTCTTTGACAGATCTTGAGAAGCTGAGTACCTTCAGTCAACGTTTTCCCCTCCCGTCCATGTACAGAGTCCACGTGTGGAAGGTTTTGTTAGGTAAAACCCATTTATACTGTAGATTGCAGTCGAGCTTTATTTCAATGAGATGTAGAAGGAACCAGTTTGTGATTATTGTGTTTATATTAAGCTTTGGAAAAATATGTTCTCAAGGAATGGACATGGCCAGGCTCAGCACTCAAGATTTCAACATTGCTATTGTAATGCTATCTGGTACTGTGGTTGGCAAATTTTTGTAGGTGCGTTACAGCCGCATTTTTTGGGGCTTGCGGCATCCGCACGTTCAAGCTCTTGTAGTGGGGCCTCCTAACCCTCTTCCCTTGGGAAAATCAAAAATCAACATCCTGGGTGGCATCAAGCTTTGCCCATCAACACCGCTTCGGATTTGGTCCTCCTCGCAGTCGATGGCCAAATGACTTGCAGTCACTCTTCATAGACGTCCCCCACACTGACTGTTTTTCTTCATGACACATCCCGATTGTTGTTTACCTGTTCTTCAGGCATCCTGCCGCCTCACAGCGATTCTCATAGCCTGGTTGGAAGCTACAGAAAGGAGCAGTACCAAGACATCATGGAGGCGCTGGAGGTGATGAGATTCATCAAGTCCTCCACCCCTTCCACCCACGTCTACCTGCGTATGTTTCAGCTGGAGAGCCACATGCTCCCGCGCTGCTCTGAAATCTCACCGCCGGTAAGATGTGGCTTTTGTCGAGTGAATATTAAACGAGTCTTCGCCCGGTCCACGTCGATGTTCTTGCGTTCAAAGCATTCCCGCCTCCTGTGATTAAAAAGAAAAAAAAAATGTATCAATATGTATATATTCCGTATTTGTTTTTTTACACAAAGTGTGAATCTGGTTTTCAGGATCAAGAGAATGAGGACTTCCTGTCCATCAGTCAGGCCATGGAGGAGATAGTCGAGGATTCCGTCGACTGCTACTGGCTCATTAAGAGTTTTATCAGTCAGTTCCACACCAAGTTTGGAGACTCGGTTCCACATCTTGTAAGTGATGCTGCATTTACACAGCAGCTCCATATGCCCACTTCTGATTTATTGCCTGAATTAGTTTCACTTCTAATTTAATGACAGGCCACTAAATATGGTCGAAATATTCATCAACCTATGAGTCACTTCAGAGCACGAATTCAGAATTTGGTCACATGAAGCATGCAATGTAAATCCAGCCCAAGTTCCCACGCGTGCCCATTCGTACCCACGTGAATCGGGAAGGCAGCCTTTCCGGTGGGCCCGCGGATTGGTTTTGAACTGGTTGTGGTCGTGTCCCGTATCTTTGCCGGTGTAGCCGAAGAGCCTGGAGCACTTCCTGAGTCAGGAGGAGCCGGGCCTGCTCAGCCATTTGAAGAACAGCGGCGCTTTGGCACAACTTCCATACCACCTCTGGTTCAGGCGCTGCTTTGCTGGCGTCCTGCCCGAGTCGAGCTTGCAGAGGTGAGCCCATAATCAAAATTTAAAAAGAAAAAAACAAACAAAAAATCTTCCATGTTCATATTGCAATGATGATACGAGAACACGATATCGTCCACGAATGAATGTGTTTTCAAGAGTGTGGGACAAGGTGATCAGCGGCTCCTGTAAGATCCTGGTGTTTGTTGCCCTGGAGATCCTGCTCAGCTACAAGATTATGTTGCTGGGGATCAGCCGACCGGAGGGCATCGTCAAGTTCCTGTGCAACGTGAGTCCGCAACTGTGCCGAGTGCCGAAATGAACATTTTTGCTTCCTCGCCTTTGCTCGTTTCCCTTTGCAGATACCGCAGGAGAACACGGATGCCATCGTCACCAAAGCGATCGATCTATGGCACAAATATTGTGGCACCCCGATACATGCCATGTAGATGACCACGAATCACGTGAAAGGACAGCGAGAGGAGCAGCCATGATGTTCAGTTGGAAGAAAAAAAAAAATCAAGCAGGCAAAATCAAATTTCTTTCTTTGAAGAAAAGCGCACACATCAGAGAAGACTCACCGTAATAGTCACATGCAGTTTGTTTTGCTTCACACAAACAAAACATTTGAAAAGTCACTTTCTTTGTGACTGACAAGTCCTGTACATAAGCAGCTTGGCAACGCACCCGCACAATCTCACCCGTGCTCTTCCGTACAAACGCAAAGCAATCATCACTGTCGTCGCTGATTGGAAAATTGGCTGGAAACGATAGGAAGTAGTGTGAGCATTAATATGGGGAGACTTTTTTTCAACCGGGCATGGGAGATTGCACCATGATCGCGCCGGTTTGCCTGACTGCTCACAATAAGCAGCGACGCTAAAATGCTCATTGAATTGTGATCATATGAAGACGCTTCCGATGCAAGAGTCGGGAGATTGCACCATGATCGCACCGGTTTGCCTGACTGCTCACAATAAGCAGCGATGCTAAATGCTCATTGGATTGTGATCATATGAAGACGCTTCCGATGCAAGAGTCACGGACTCAACGGCATGTTGATTTTGTGTGCCATTGATATTTTACGGAAGTGCAAAATCATTGTGAGGTGTTTTCCTGCGTCTTCGACTGCTGTACGAAATGTAGACAGTGTGGAAGCAAAGTGTCGTCCTGCCTGTAAACTCGGGCGCGGGCAGGCAGAGCGGACCAGAAGGTTACTGAGCTTGTCAACGTCCGCAGTCGTGCGCTGCATTCAAACTCAATTGCTTTGGTTAGAATCGGGGCAACGGGAATCCGGAAGCGGTACGCGCTTCTGGATGCAAAACCTAGAAACAGATGAACAAATAAAAAGGGATCTGTGATTATTCCACTGTTGGTGTCTGAATTTGAAGAAGACGGATGTTTTTTTTTGTTTTTGGGTGGAGTACAAAGCGTTGGGCGAGTCCTGAACTCACCTGGAAGCAATGAAAATGGTCCCCGCAAACAGCAAACACGGACAATAGATATCAGAATTCCCCCCCCGCCCCCATGTTGTATTAAAGGTCGTTCACTCGAGTCTCATTGGACGCAATCCTTCATTTCATTCTGCTTGAATATGGAACATGATCATTGTACCCTGTCACAATTCTCAACCTAGTGCAAGTTTCGCACCGAGAGTAGAATTGTTGCTGGCTGCAAAAGAAAATGGGACATTGCTGGATGGACGTCAACGTGTTCTTCAGTATAAATAAAACATGTCAAATCAGTCTCAAACTGGATTCGGTTCTCCGCATCAAGTCCGATTCGGTTTTTTCCAGTCTTGATCAAATTCATCAAAATTGGCGCAGATTAGACTTGACAAAAGTGCAAAGTTGGTTGATAAAAAAATCCGAGTCGGTCTGAAACCAGGTTCAAAGTAACGTTGCTGGGGGTGGGGTGAAACCTGCAGAAGAAATGTGATCGTTCAACTACATTTCCATGAGTAATGCGTACAAAACAATTCTTCAATCAACGCTGTTCAAAGCCTGGTTAGATTACGGCACAATCAAAGTGAAACGGGTGGTGAACGTTACTGGTTAGCATCAATATGTCCCACGATTCCTCATTTGTTTACTTCCGTTTTTTGCAGAACAAAAAAAAAAAAAAGCCAAAATGATCTTGAGCACGCCTACAAAATGTAACGTGCTCTTGTTTACTGAAAGATATTGACTTGTGTTTTTAAAATAGCAACTCAAGTATTATATGGCCGCTTCATTATCTTTCTCTTGCCATTTTGAGTTAGCGGCGGTTCTTTTTGTGTGTTAACTTTAACGTTGAGTCAAGAGCCGGTTGAACCTTTTTAGCATTTCAAGTTTTCAACGATAAGATAACGGTGCCGTAAAAGGGAATGGTCAGTGAAATATACTTGATTAAAAAAAAATGTAAACCCAAGGTTTGAACAACCGGGCACTGACATTTTAAAGCTCATACCTCCCATTAAAAAAAACAAAACAAAAAACTCATAACATCCTACCATTGACCTTCAGTGGTTGTTTTTATCTTTCATAAGCAGGCTACCTCCAACCTTCTCAGAGTTTATGAAAAGGTGACGTAAGAGTGAGGTGTGTTTTTTTTGGGGGGGGTTTCCGATACCTGGTGAGGTGGCGACTGGACTCGTGCACATCCATCTCTGTGCTTTTGAACTCGTTCAGCTCTTTCCTTATGGCAGCCTGAAGGACAAAGAGTTGAATATTAAAGTGTGGCTCTCGAGGGAAGCCACACTTCCGATTTGGAGTGGCGGTGGCTCTGCAGGAACCTTGTCAGCAGCCGTGAGTCTCGTCCAGGGCTTATCTGCTCTCCTGTCGTAGTCCTGAGCCTCGGCGACTTCCACGTAGTCGCTGAAGCGTATGAGGATCTTTGCCTCTCTCAGCTCTTCCACCGTCGGCCTCTGGCTAAGCTACAAATGCACATTTTTGAAAGAACGTCCTCCAACAGTCACAATGAGCCATGCAAAGTTGATGGGTGTTAAAATTGTCTTTCCAAAAAAAAAAAAAAAAAGTCTGTAGATTTTTAATTTCAGTTAGACGACTGCAACATTTGAACCTTTTTTTTTTCCCATGGAACATTTCATCTTGAAATGACAACGGTTCACCATGATCAGGAATGTCTGCATCTTGTGTTCAACGTTGGAACACAATTCTGTCGAGGTGTATATTTAATTATTTGCTAAAAAAACATCCTCATTTGGTTTCATTCGTGCGTTTGAATTCATGAAATATTCAGACTGACTTCTTAAAAAGAACAAAATGGATGGCCGAATTGTAATACATTGTGCCGTTATCTGAAAAGTGGGATTACAAATCACCATGGCAACCACGTTTCCCTTAAAAGTATCATGCACGCATTCGTCTGTCTTACTTTTTTGGATAAATGTCTCTTGATCTCCCTCTTCTCCTGCTCCTCCAGATCGTTTCGAGCTAAAGGAGGAAAAAAAAAAAAAGAAGATGGTGACGCATCTTGAAGCTGCTTTTTGTCTTTCGTGGTCTGTTTTTAGCATGCAAAGTTACATACGTTTCAGGATATTCCGCTGTTCCAGTTCCTCGGCAGTTGGTCGTTGACTCAACCGTCTAGGGGGGAAAAAAAAAGTTTTTCTTTGAATTATATTTCCATGATATGGGGAGTTATTTAAGAAGCAAGAAATTCTGTTTGTAGTACGGTCAGCAATGCAAGCAATTCCAATTTTGACTTGATTGAACACGATGCGTTCATGACATTAGTTTAGCTGCGTGCTTAAAAATGCGCTTGAAATTGACACTTGCAGGAGCATGTCAAAAAGATGCTCCGAAACATCATTGCGTAAGTCTTCAGATGCTGAAATTGCGTCTCAGCCCAAATTGTGCTGTACTTCTTCAACCGATTCTTGAATTTAATCGGAGCTACCGGTACAAAAAACAAAACAAAACATTTGAGCTGGGGGTGGTTGAGTACGAGTGCCGGGAGGATCCCCACCGTGTGAGTTTGGTTGCCGTTTGCTGTCGGGACTCAAATCTCTCCTGGTCGGACTGCAGTGGCAGAATGTTCTTCTCCTCCAGCTCCCTCTTTGATGGACGGTTACTGATTTTAATGGCTAAAGAGTCCTTTCGTAGCACCTTCAGGGCCAGTGTGCCTGCATCCACAAGAACAAGAACATTGCTCATCACGTGCTGACCTAACATAGAAGAACTAATAAGGTGTGTGACTGGAGCCGTTATATCCTCACAGCATGAAAGAATCTCTGAGATGATGTATTGTCTTCAAGATAAGACACACACACACACACACACACACACACACAAAATAAAAACATGCTGATGGGCAGCGCTAGGATGTTCATCTTGTCTTTTTGGAAAAACCCGTGAGCCACCGAAGGGCGCAAAACATGAAGCGCAAAGTGGCGAGGGAGGACTGTATTACTACTTGTGCAAATGAGGATGAATTAGTGGACCCCGAACAAACCAGAGGCAAACCACCTTCTTCTTCTTCTGGGCAGTCGGCCCCCGTCAGGGACTTGCCCCCCCTCCCGGGTCCCACACCCGGCACGAGTCTCGCTGGTGCCTTGCGAGGTTCCCCGCCAACAGTTCCTTCCCACATCTCCCGCAAGCCACCCTTCTCCCCCACGACCTCCCTCCCTGATTGCTCTTCGTCCTCCCTCGGCTCCCCTTCCACGCGTCACGCCCGCTTCGTCCCCCCTCCCCCCTTCCCTCTCTTCCCCATTCTCTCTTCCCACTCGTTCACACCCCCTCACGTGTCTGGCATAATTTGCTTTTGTGACCCATCTTTCACACCCTCCACACTGCCTCCTCTCCCCCTTCTCCTCATACGCTCCTCCCGTGCAGCTCCTTTGGTGACTTATCATATTCCCTTTTGACCCAAACATCCTCCCACATTTTCCACATTCGAACTTCACCTGTTCGTCATTCCTGCGGTGCATCCGCTTTTCGTGCATGGTTAGCCCCGCTCTACTCCTGCACACTTTTCCGCACCCCTCATACCTACATTCCACCCCATCATTCACTCTCCTCACATTCCTCTCTAATTTTTCTTCATTCATTCCCGCCTCATATCTGTGACCCTTCTGATTTTCCCATTTATACAGGTGATCCATACGCTCACTCACTTTCCTTTTCCAACCTTCTCTGTCACTTGTTAATCTCTCTACCTCTGTCCAATCCATCCCTGCGTTCCTCATTACTCTCTTCCAGTATAATACCGTCTTCCTTTTACGTCCCATCATCTTTCCTCGTCCTTCCAATTCCTCCCACCATCCTAATACCATTGCTTTTGTTATTCTTTCATTCCCCATGCGCATCACATGTCCGATCCTTTGTAGCACTCTCCTCTCAATTTTCCACTCAATAGATTTTACTCTCAACATTTTCCTCACATCATACATATTTACTCCCCTTTCTTGCATTTGTTTCAACGGTTCCCCATTTCTATCACTCCATACATACCGATAGCATTTGAGGCAAACCACCTACTTGTAAATAAAGCTTCATCATCATCCTCCTCCTCCTCCTCCTCCTCCTCGTCTACTTCTTCTTCGTCCTCTTCCAATTCGTCCTCTTCTTCATCATCATCCCGATACATAACGGGCATGTCCTCGTAGTCCGTCTCATTGGGGAGATTCTCCTTGTCGTCACATTCCATCATCATGGTGGGAACGGCGCGCATCACGGAACTGCGGTCGGTGGGAAAGGGCACAGAGGTCAGGGGCGGTTGCTCACGCTTGCATTACACGGCACGGCGCTTTATGTAGGCAGCTAATGCGGTGTGGGTTTTATCGATGGATAAGCCTCAAAATGTCAAAGTAAAAAAAACAAATAACTCAAATGTGGAATGCAGTGACTTTCCACAGACAAATCCGGAAAAAAAAACACAACTGGCCTCATAAATTGCAACAGGCCAGAGAGTGTCAAAGCGATCCTCAGACAGGCAGCCAGCGTCATATCGATGGATAGTTTGCAGATTCGGGACCGCTTTTGCAAACCCGCCTTTAGCTTTGCCTGTCATAGGCACAGTACTGACCCGCAGATCAAAAAGGGGCGATGATGAATCCACAATGTCCCGCATTTCGAATCTGTTTGGACGCTGACCTCTCAAACCTCTGCATGGTAAGGGCCAGCGTCTTGTTCAGCTCCTCGATGATTCTGCTGGGCGGGTGAAGCGGAACGGCGAGTGTTCCGTACTGCAGCGAGTGCCCGCCCGCGGGAGCGTGGCCGGCGGGGGCGCCGCACTTCTGGAAGGCCAGCAGAGGCGACAAGGGTTCCGTGCTCCCTGCAGGTACGCAGATCATGAGCTTCTTCGGAGGTAGAGGAGGCGATAACTTCCCCGACATGCACGGCAACTTTACCGGGGTACCATCTGGAAATCGATGAAAGAAACGGGGAGCTTGTAAAAGGCCCAACCTCAGTGAGGAATCATCACGCAGGCAAATGTACCTGTACTGTGGTTTGCGATCCTGGTCAAGGGTTTGGGCGGTAGCGCAGGAGGTTGCTTGTGTAACGTGGGAGGTCTGTGCAATGTTGATTCCGTATCGCCGCCGCCTGGATACGCAGAAGGCTTTTTTTGGGGGGGGGCCTGGTTCAGTTTTTGGGTGTGGTCCTGTTGACTTGTACTCTCAGCGGGGATCTCAAACTCAAGTGAACCTGAAGATAAACCAAGAGAAATGAAGTGAGGTCTTGGGTTTGAAGTTGGACTCTGAGTTTGCATGCTCTCCTTGCGCTCTTCGTGTCGGGTGCGACCAAAATGTTTTGAAAGACCGTTGTCAATCCTGACGTATGGCAGAAACCGATTGATCAGCCCGTTCATTTAAAAACTATCTTGACGTCCTGCTGGACACGTATATCTTGGACCGGCCGCAAATCAAGTCGGCAGTGTTCAGTATAATTGGTCAAGAAAATGGACGGAAAGCACATGAGGCCTCAAAGCTCCGGATGGTCTGTTGCCTACCTCCACTTGCAGCCGCTCCTTCCATTGGCTCAGTACCTTCGGATTGCGACGAGCTGCACACGAGCACTGGAGAGCGGCCATTTTGCAGCTTCTCGTCCTCGCGGAGCGACGACGAACTGTCTACACAAGCATAACACAAGAGCATGGCCGAATGACTAAGCCGGACGGGGATTTGGATTCATTTAAGAGACAGAAAAGGAAAAGTTGAGGCCGAACTGCATCTCGTATTCCATAAAGGCTTTTCAAGCCTGTTTCTCGAGCGCTGCCTGTTTTCCACGTCTCCCTCCCTGCTGCAGCACAGTTGATGTTCATGATCAGAAAGAGAACGATCCCGATCATTTGAACTTGGAGCAGGGACACATTTAAAACATTCGGGCAAGCGCCCCTCAGCGAACAGGATTGGGGTCGGGTCGCGGGGGCAACAGCTTTAGCAGGGAAGCCCAGACTTCCCTCTCCCCAGCCGCTTCTTTCAGTTCTTCCCAGAAGATCCCAAGGCAATCGATCTCAGGCCAGCCGGGAGACACGCGTGTTCTGCCGGTGGGACGTGCCCGGAACACCTCGCCGGGGAGGTGTCCAGGACGCATCCAAATCAGATGCCCGAGCCACCTCATCTGGGTCCTCTTGACGTGGAGGAGAAGTGGCTCGACTCTGAGCACCTCCCGGATGACTGAGCTTCTCATCTCATCTCGAGGGGAGAGCCCCGACACCCTGCGGAGGAAACCCATTTCGGCCCCTGATATCCGAGATCTCGTTCTTTCGATCACGACCCGCAGCTCATGCCCGGAGGCGAGCATAGGAACGGTAAACGGAGCGGTAAACCTAGAGCTTCGCTTTTTGGCTCAGCCCTTTCTTCAGCACGACAGACCGATACAAAGTCCTGCCAAAGAAATCGCGTGAGTGAATCACTGTTGTTACCACCGATGGGAGGAGCCCAGAGCCAACCCCGTGAACATTATTCTCGGATTTAATGAGCCATTTAAAAGCCTGGATGCAAATAAAATAAATGGATGAAACCATTACAGAGGATTGATTGACTTCAATCATCCATTGTCCATGGATTAAGTCTCATCACTTGTGCACCAACCGAAAAAGACCGCCCAATTCTGGACGAGGGTTTGCGCTCACCTTTGTCAAGAACTTCCTTCAGGACGCCTTTCTTGATCAGCTCTTCTCTGCTCTGCCTTGTAGACATTTTTCTCTCCAGCACTGCGAGAGAAAGTGTCAGAAACCAGGCTAGTCTCATTTATCAGGGTGCGTTGAACACGAGACTTGACTTCTTCCTGGAATTACTGAACACAAATATTCCATTTCCATTCCATATATAGCGAAGCCCTCTTCATCGCCGTTGATATGTTCCAGACCCACCCGCAGTCGGTGAAAAGCCGCCATACGGAGAGCCCGTATTAAAAAAAATATCAGGTCAGGAGATGTCGGGAAAACTTCAAGTCAACTATGGGCGTGTGAAGACTGATTAAGGGCTATAAAAATAATGTGACTTGACTTGACCGTGTGTGATTTCTAATTTGAGATGTGTGTCAAGCATTTTAAATGACACTTGCTAAAGCGTGGCGAGATCTATCGTCCTGCTGTGTTCTCTGTTTGATGCATTTGTTGGAGTGCTGCCTGTATAGAGCGCATGCTGTTAAAACGCATCGCGTCTTAATCCGTCAACACATTCGACGGAAGCGTTTTCAGTCCTCACCGGCAGAAGTTTGCTTGAACTTTTCACTCTTCTTCTTCCTCCATTTCCAGGGTTTAAAGAGGCGCCCCAGGGTGGCAAATTTACTCCGCCGCCTTATTGGAGGCGTGTGCGTGCCAGGTACCAGTGAATCCGAGCGCATGGCCGCCAGCCTTTCGACTTCTTCAGCTGTAACACAAGTTGTCAACAATTGTCAACATCGACGGAAACGCGTGACCCTGCCGTTTAAAGAGCTAGCGCGAGCATTTATTCGCCCGTCCCTTTCCGACAGATCTTGCCAGCTGCGTCCCAAGTGTGCATTCGCGACATCAGCGTCACAGAGTGGCAATTGCTGTGGACAGTGTTCAATTTCTTTCTCATCGAACTGACTTATCCCCCGATTGTGACAGGGAGTAAGTAAGGAAGACTGGAGAAGTGGGGCTCCAGTTTTGGCCACATAAAAGCACGTGATGTCGTGGCTAACATTGAAGTGTGGCTCGACGGTTTATGTGGTGTTGAGCCACAGCGGCGAAGAGGTTTCACGACCCGCTGCCAACCCCGCTAGTGACAAAACAAATGTTGGTTCACCAGCTCAGCGGCCGCCGTCAACGGCATTCAACCCCCCCACCTTGACATTCTCTGACCCACTTCCCCTTCCAGCCCGCACTAGTTCACCGAGTTTTGTGGTCGGCCAGTGTAGCACCCCGATGTGACTGTCAGTGGCCAAACAAACCTTCGCCTGGAAAAACAAAACAGCAGATTCATGTGAAATGAATCACGAATTCTACCCGGTTTGTCAACAACTCTGTTATCCCGGCTTGAATGAGCAGTGCTTCAATGCATCTTCTTGTGATGCGGGAACGCCATCAAGGTCTCCTCTCCCTGGTCGTCCCGCATCCTGGGGTGTGAGAACAGCGGCGTCCATGTGTTCAATGTCTCTGACTCACATTGCAGGGCCGCAATCTTTCAATTTTAGCTCCTACGGATTATCTCACAAATGTCCTTGCTAACCTCACCAATCAAGGAAATACTGTGTGTGTGTGTGTGTGTGTGTGTGTGTGCAATAACGTCACTGTAAATGCCCTTAATATATGCACACGCACTACCATTAAAATAAAGGTGGGTTACAATACACAGAGCTTTTTCCTGAGTGGGGATGTCCCATATACAGTACACAACATGGCTATTCAATTAGATACGTGTTACACTTGCCCAATAAAGGGGGAAAAAAGCCAAGAAAGAGTACTAACGGAATTAAAACAATACAAGAGTGAATTCCCACCCCAACGAGTGATTTTGAGGGAGAGCCTTTTGCACAGTCCTGACCTGGTCATAAAATAGTTTGTCACCATCCTGTGCAAAACACATATGCACGTTTTTTGTCAGTGGAAAAAAAACAATGTTCCATTCATGGGGTGTCCACCTTTCACACAGGACTGCGCCCTGCTTTAGCTAAAAAAAAAAAAACACGGGCAGCACTTTTCAAATGTCCTCCTTCAACCAGGCTTGGCAACCAAAAATAAAGCATCGCCTACTCGGGGGGAGGTGCTACTGTGTTTGCTTCGTATTGATTGTGACCGACGAGGGAAAATGGTTGAAAAGTGGAATCGACCAGATCACAGGTTGAAGATTGAAGATGACCGACCCGTTCCCCCTCCCCAGTGTTTCAGTCGGAAAAAAACTGTGCGGTATGTGTAAACCTCCGCCATCGACATTTGATCGTTCACGCAGATCGACGAAAAGGCGGCGTGTCGCCACGAGTCGTCGTCAATGCACAGCGTGTGATTGGGATTTGTCTTTTTTTATTTTCCTGGGGCGGGGAGGCGGGGGGCAGTCATGATGTGGAGGATGATGCACGCCGATCCAAAGGAGAGGCTTTTTGTTGCAGCGCCACTGGACAGTGAGCAGCTTTGCATCGACGCCTTAGCCAAGCTCTTTTCCAACCAACGTGATGACGACGATGACTTTTTTGCCGAATGGGAGGAAGAGCAAAGAGCTCATTTGCCGTATGCGTTTCGGAGAGCGACGCTTTAGCTGCGCGGCCTTTGTTGATTATCATCGTGACCATGGCAACAAAAGCAAACTGTCACCGTGACAAGCGCAGCAGCAAATCAGCACCATTTGACATCCATGCCTCATATTTCTCCCCGCGGCATGATAGCATTTCGCCATAGTGAAGCGTACCCTTCGAGACTGGTTCGGCATTCTTCTTTTAGTAATTGCCTAACTGGAATTTCATTCATTTAAACATTCATTTAAAATAAAAAGCATCCCATTTGGAGCGTTTTCCCGTGGGCATGAGTCACTGTGAGCTCGGTATCCTCCAACGTGCGGCCGAGCATCATGGGTACCGCCAGCGCATAATCACGACACCCCGGAGTCACGCTGATGTCTCGGGGGCTGGAGGTCGCTCACGATGACGCGCTTGACGATTTGCGTCGTCCCCATGAGGCAGCAGGTGTAAAACAAGATGACATGCCGACTTGGGCTCATCACCCTTACCTGTCTCCAGGTGCAAAGAGATCCTCGCTTCATTGATGTAAGGCGTGTCACTCTTGGAACGAACCCTCCGGATCGGTCTGCGGTCTTCCTGCTCCGCCGCCGGGGCCGCCGCCGCCATGTCCAGGGCCTGCCAGCCGGCCAACGTCCACAGGCGACCGGCGTGACGAGACTCGGCGCCGCCGCAGCCACTCGCGAGCGCTCACCCCGACAGACGGTGCAGCAGTGGGCGGGCTATTGTTAAGGCTGACGGCGAGGAGGAGGAGGGAGAGAACTGGGGGGGGGGGGGCATGCACGTCTGTGCTATTTGCCTGCAACGTCGGACTGAGCTTCACACGCTCATCTTCAATGGAAAGTCAACATTGTCTGTGCGTTCAGGTGGTTGTCAGATGGCGTGATGTCATATCGGATGAATTTGGGTTTCGGACAGTCATGTAGCGGTTATCGTATACGGCAGTAAGTGCTGCGCGAACTTTTTACATCCATGACTGGCATTATCATGCAGTCGGCGTAGTCACTCCAAGTGTTCATCAAAAACGAGACCGAGATTTTCTACGTCAAAAGTATTTCCTTTTATTGTAAGTTTAAGAAAGAAAATGAATCCGCTTTGGGTGTTTGTTTTAAAATCAAAAAAGCAGTCATTGATGTAACTATTAGGGCACCGTGTCCTTCCTACCACTACTGCGCAGATATTTGTTTGTTCTGAATTTGCAATAATTTGACCTAACCACTTTGGAATTGACGGAGTAAAAAAATGAAACGCTCTCCACACGCGCCCCACTATGACTCGCAGTAAGTGGTACGAGTGCTCCCTCTGCTGGTCTCTTTTTCCAACGTTCCTCATGACCGAGCGTTCGTTCTGATTTCCGCTTCTAGCGTTATTTGTGCAACATGCAATTAGTTTCTCTTTTTGCTCGATATTGAATGTTGACAGTAACCGGAAATGTCAACGAATACTTGCAAATAAGAACAAAGTACGGGTGTAACAGACGGGACACCCGGAAAAGGAAGCGTTCCGGTTCTGTTGACAACACACTTTGACAGGTAAGAGGAAGCTTGGAACTCGGGCTTGGAAACGAACTTGGAAACTTTGAAGTATGCATACACATCGTTGCGGTTCCATTCGGTAAAGGCCACGAACAACCCCCGGCTACTGCCAGAAACGGTTTGCCTATTTATCCGAATCAAGGTACTAGCCTAGCTCCGAGTAATAGCATAGTTAACGTTTACCAATCTACATTGACGCGAACGAGTTTTGAGTGACACTATCGGAATGGTACTATTTTTAATCTAAGAACGTTTTACTTTTTCGGTGTGGTGATGTGGAACGTACTTTGACGTAATAAACAAAATGTATACTGTATCCCTGAACAATTCAACTAAATCATTGTAAACCTGGCACGGTTAACAAACCCGTTTGATTGTTTGTATGTTGAGTACCGTAAAATCAGACGTCAATCACTAATGAACCGTCTGGTGAGAGTCACAGCGGGCGCGCATTAGGTCCACGTTGTTTCGTAGTGTAAGTTGAGGGGTTCGTAGTTTTGAATGGATGGCTGTACGTTAGCAATGGGCAAAAAGGAGACATGGACTTCGTTTCAACGCAGCTTTTCTTTTCCAACGTCTGCTCCGTAACTCACGAACAAACACACCTTCTTCCGGTAACGAAAACACTTCCTGCTTCTCTTCAGCCAATCAAACGCAAGCAACATTAGAACGTTTTTAACAATTATTAAACAGAATACAATTTAGGTAACTATAACATAAAGGAATATAATGCTCAGATATAAAATGAAAATAATTAATCATTTAACATAAGCTTACACTAGCAGGAAAGATGCAGTTGTTATATGGCAGTATTGACTCCAACTCAACTGGGATGCAAAAGGCATGAAGGAAGGCTCTGACTTCAAAGATAACAATGCAATTTATTCCTAGTCACTGAAGCCTGATGGTTGTACCGCAGTTGACCTCCAGACGCCTAATCAACTTTTATACTCTCCTGAGGAAACGCTCAGACAGCCAAAACATGACCAGACCCAGTTCGGGTAAGAGCACAGGTGACAGGTTCGCATTGTCTTCATATAAGAGAAGAGATGATGAGTAATGATTGGCGCTGTGGGGATTGCCTTTTCTTGCACAGACCTGGCGGCATTTAGGGAGATCTTCTCCAAGGCCTCGAATATCGCCATCCTCACCGGAGCGGGTGTGAGTGCGGAGAGTGGAGTCCCCACCTTCAGAGGGGCGGGGGGCTACTGGAGAAAATGGCAAGCTCAGGTTTGCATCCTTTCTTAAAATGCTCATCATCTGTTGCACGTCATCATTTGGCTTGCAAAGTGTGACACGCTTCAGTCTGATGCCGTCACTGTTTTCGTCATCAGGACACATTTGCAATTTGTTGGGAATTTGAGTGTGAAATGCTAAATGACAAAATACGGATGCCCGTGGAATAATATTGAATGGTACAAATGAATATGGAATTTTTGGGTTGGATGTGGGCATGTTGAAATTTTTTTTACCAAAGTGAGCAACTCATGTAAATGTTCAAATGAAGTAAATCCAAAGGATTTTTTTTTCCTGTCAGGAGAGTTGTAAGTGGAGAAGCTTGACCTAAACAGAAAAAAGGGCAACTTGACTAAACCATTAAAAAAAAAAAAAAAAAAGAGGGCGACTATCAACCATCATATTAATAGTTGATAGTGAGAGTCTTATGGGAGTATGAAAAACATGCACAGATGCGACCAGATGATCATGGCAAATCAGGCTGCCTTGTGATACATGGCCACAGAGAAAAAAAAACTTTTTTAAGGAGGGGTGCGTATTACATGTTGACATTAATTTTACCACTCATATGTCAATGAAAATGACATCTTTTCACACGACAAAGACCGAGTAGTTGTACTGTATTTTAGTTTTACGATGTAGCAGCTAACCTCTCTGGATGCATCCGACGACGGCTTAGTGGAGAGCTGGAGCCCGAGTGACTTTGATATCGAAATTCTTGGAGATGAATTTTGCCACTGTGCCCCCCACCCCTCCTCTTTAGGAGCTCGCCACGCCGGAAGCGTTCTCCCGAAACCCATCCCGCGTCTGGGAGTTTTACCACTACCGTCGTGAGGTCATGCTTACGAAAACTCCGAACCCCGCTCACCTGGCCATCGCCGAGTGTGAGGAGCGTCTAGGCAGGCAGGGCCGCGGAGTCGCCGTCATCACTCAGAACATTGATGAACTTCACCGCCGCGCTGGATCCAAAAATATCCTCGAAATTCACGGTAAATCCTGCAACAGACCAATTGCCTTTGAAGACGAAATATGCAAGCGGAATGGCAGTCAGTCAATTGGTCGAGCTTAGTAGAATCAAGACGGACTAAGAAATCAGGACCAGCTTGACTGAGGTTTCGGTCTCAGTGTGGTAGTTCACGCTCGCTGGAATCTTTTCAAAATTTAGAATCGAATGTTTCTACGGACAATTTGTTCGACATTTCTGCTTTTGCAGTTGTTTCGCTATTAACCTGAAACAAAACAATCAACTGTTTTGTTTTCCACTCTCCGTATTTTTGTCTCTTTCTCTCTCCAGGCAGCCTGTTTAAAACACGCTGTACGAGTTGTGGTCATGAAGCCGCCAATCACAACAGCCCCATTTGTGCTGCTCTGGCGGGCAAAGGGTAAGTGAAACGGCAACTTGCCAGAGTTTGCTTTCGACTTTCACAAAACATGCTAACTGTATTTTGCGCAGGCGAATGCAGGCTGATTGGGATGTCTCACTTGAAATTCACATCCAAATAATTAACCTCAGTTGACATGACTATTGTCTGGTCTGACGAAACAACCGGCCCGACGTCGATTCATCTTTTGATGGAGAGATGGGGTGCTCCCTGACTAGTCAAGTTGCAGAACAAACAATCTCAATCAACTCAAGTGTATTGCTCGAGCACTTTCAAACAACCACCTCGGCTCGGCTTTTAGCACAAGATCTCACAAGTGTGTGTGTAGTCGGTACTTAACCACTCGTATCGAATCGCTTCTTCAGAGCTCCAGACCCGGATTCAAAAGATGCTCAGATCCCTGTCCAGGACCTCCCCAGGTAGGAAGCCTCGTCATGTGTTTTGTGCTGTGTGTGAACGTCTGTTTTTTTTTTTCCAGGTGTGAACAAGCCGGGTGTTCGGGTCTTCTGAGACCAGCTGTGGTTTGGTTTGGAGAGGCTCTGGATTCGGACATAATCATTCGAGCGGAGAAAGTGCTAGATAACTGTGACCTCTGCTTAGTGGTGAGTGTTTCTGTGCTGCAGCGCTCTAACGTTTCGGGATATGATCAACCGTCACTCCACAACTGAAAAGAGTTTCCAAAGAGAATTATAGCACACCTTTTACTCGGATTGAGCAATTTTGAAAAGTAATCCAATTGCATGTTTTTTTCCCCCCACTAATTGCGATATTAGAGCGAGAGAGAGAATGAGGCTGTTGTGTGACCACACAGGTTGGCACTTCGTCTGTGGTGTATCCAGCAGCCATGTTTGCTCCTCAAGTGGCCGCAAGAGGCGTCCCCGTGGCTGAGTTCAACATGGAAGATACACCGGCCACCATGTGTTTCAAGTGGGTGGCGTTCTGCTTTTCGTTCCTCTGAAGAGTTGAAATCATTTATAGTGACAGCATTTGGATTTTTCGCTTTTCAGGTTTCACTTTCATGGCCCTTGTGGGACGACCTTGCCTGCTGCCTTAAGTCCCCATGCGTCTGAAAAACACTGAAAACGATGCACGCTGAAGCAACTGCTCAAATTCTGGATGCTTATTCGAAAGAACACAACAATAAGAACTGATTATTTGCTCCAAGGTGAGTGCTGAGGTTGTCAAGAATCTGAAGCCAGCATGCAGCAGATTTAAACATTCTCCAGTGCAAGTTACTTCGTTTTTTGTTTTTTTTTTGGGGGGGGGGGCGTGTTAGCCTTTGTAATCTTAGATTTCCTCATTTAATCACGTGAGGAATGCGAGATACCCATAAAAACCTTTTGGGGCTTCATGTTTGTACAGATTTATGCAGAGGTCTCATCAGATCACCGTGCGTCTCTTGCATATTGAATGTGTGGCAGTAGGGGGCAGTGTTAACACGCTGCTTTTTGTTTCCATCCAGAAAGATGATGGACAGGTTGTATTTGTGCATGTGCTCATTATAATACAGTATCTTGAGACAGCATGTGCACTGATGAAAACTGACAGTACTACAGTTTCATAAGTACTGTGTATGAAAATGTCAATTCGCATACCTGTATTAATAATAATAATAATGATAATAATAAAAATATACACACACATTTTCTTAATTTGAAGACTTCTCTACGTTTCCGTGCGGCGCACTCGCCTTCTGCACTGCAGCATTATTCGACATGCTTGAGCTGCTCATTTCAGTTTCCGCTCGTCCCCTTTATCTTTGCTCTTTCTCGGGTGTAGCTCTCGCATCACGCCTTCACTTTCACTCCCGTCTGTACGCCAGCCGTATGCTTGCCACGATGAGATGTTATTGCCTCCATCGGCTGCTCATTAGAGAGTGGATGATGGTCCGCCGGTCCCCTCGTGACTCTGCGCCAAAAATAACAGCCAATTTCCCGCCCGCTCAGCCATGATTTCATGCCAATCTTGAGTTGTGTTGCTCATATTGCTCGGGCTTGTCAATGTGAGACCGGAGTGGCACAACGGAAAAAGCAAAACAAGGGTGAATACCAAGACGAGTTCAGAGCATGCGTCAGAAAACGCTCGTGACTCGCTGACTTCGATGCACTTCTTCGATGAGCAGGTTGTCATTTCTCAAGTTGTAATTTGAGATATGTTGAGTGAGAACTGGGTGGGAGGCCAGTCTCGGAAGTTGACGTCATCAAGAAGAAGCGAGAGTTGTGGCAGGGCAACTTGTGGCCGCTCGGCCGCGGCGACCGGCCCGCTGCGCTCGAGCGACTTCCCAACCGACCTTTTGCCTCTCAGTCCGAGTGTGCCGCGTTTGCCCCACAACGGTGCTTTTTAACAAGCTCGGCAGGATCCGGCGCTGCGTAATCTGCAGCGGATCTAAAAAGTCTACACAGCCCTGTTGAGATGCCAGTTTCTTTGTCATATTCCCCCCCACCAAAAAAAAAAAATCACACCAAGATGAAATCATTTCAAAACGTATTCCACGGTGTTGTGTTGGCACCGAGAATACCTTTTGGAATTACGGCCAAAGTAAAATCCAACTTGCTCTCATCGGATCATGATTCATTTTCTCACAGGTTTTTGGTGCACTTTGGTAACAGATGTGATCTTTACAGATGTATTGTATGGTCCATTGAAACCCAGATTGAACTTTTTGGCCATCATTCCCAAAAGGTCTCCTCATAAAAACAACACCATACCTACACTTTCAGCATGTGGCAAGTGGCGGGAATTCTGATGAGTTGGGAATAGCAGTCAGCATGAGCACAAAACCTGTATGTCAGCCTGTTTGAACAGTTGAACTTCACTTTTGGTTCATCAGAGACACTTTTGAAACGGCCGCACGTGTGGGTTGGTTGCCATTTCACATGACTTTGAATGGGATTTATTAGTGGTGAACACAGACACAATCCCCCAGTTCAAACACCATGATGTCTCTCTATTTCATTCTTTTTTTTTTTTTTTTTTTTTACTTCCCTGTCGAAAAGCGTTACATTTTCATTTGGGTTCCACAGGTTATAGGTTACATTAATGGTGCAAATTGTTTCTTAAAAGCTTTATCTTGGTATCAGTATATCACAAAATGCTGTCGTTTGAACGGGGGTGTGTAGACTTTTTATCAACACTGTAGCTGGTCATGAGGCACGCAGTGGGGTGTGTTCCTGCATCTGTGTGTGTGTGTGTGTGTGTGTGTGTGTGTGTGTGTGTGTGTGTGTGTGTGTGTGTGTGTGTGCGTGTGTACATTTCAGTAAGTATCTTTCAATTATGACCAGCCAAACACAAAGCCAAAGCCCCATCTCTCTGCGTAATCAGGGTGGAAAGACACACACACACACACACACACACACACACACACACACACACACACACACACACACACACAAACAAACACACATATGCACGTGCGCACACGCACACACACGCACACACGCTGGGCAGGGTTTAACAGAATTAAGATGACTGAAGCTGGTGCTCTTCCCAATCAGCCCAGATTAGGTTTTTGGAGTGAAAATCCTCCAGGGAAGCACTAATCCCTGACCGTAAGCAAAGCTTTCTCTTTCTGTATCGCTCTTGCCTGCACCCTCGCTTCCTCCATCACTCTATTTATAGCCCCGTTAAGCTTCTCTGCGTGCTCCTGTTTACATTTTCGAGCCCTTTAGATTTAATGGCCTTTTTTCTCTTGAATCTCCGGTTGAGGAATTAAAAGCAAGAAATGTCTGTCGGTCAGCGACATGCTGAAAACGGGGGAGCGGGGTGCACAGTTTTGGGCGAGTTGACGAACGCTCGCCAGTCAGATCGAGTTGCAGCATTGAGGAGCGAGGGAGCCGTGAAGTGACAGCCGCTGTCAAAATGCGAGCCGACCCCGGGATAAGCGGAAGAAAATAAACGCAGGGAGGGAATTTCCTTCGCCCTTTCTCCACGGGCGACAAACGGTCGGCATTTTCAGATCTCTGCCTATCAGGCGACCGAGCGGCTCTGCTCTGTGATGTCTTTTCCCAAAGTTGCCGTTTGGGATTAGACTCCATTTGGCGGTACATTAAGGAAGCGGATAACATTGAGCTCATGATGGCAACGCTACTCATCAGTTGCATCTGAGTCTCTGGGCCGGAGACACACAGCCACAACTAAGGCAGACGGGCTTTTTTACACCAGCCGTCTTGTGACGCAAACGGGCTGATTGCGCTTCACAAAGCTCGACCGCGTGCATCCGTCACTTTGGTTTTCATGCGGGAAACCGGCGACGCTGTCAACCAGTAACATGATTTCACGTGATGGAGCAGCCTCCTCCTCCGTCTATTTGACACTCAGACCAGGCTCGCTTCCGCTTGTGCTTCCTGCCAAGTGTTAATAGCGTCATCAGATGTGAGGGCCACAGCTGCTCTCCCTCCGAGTTATTGGGCGCACGAATCGAGGCTGCAAAACTGCGACTTTATGACCTCTTTGGAGGGCCATTTGGATTGTTTCAGTCAAAGCATTGACCGGTGCTGTTCGGTCATGACGTGATTACATTTTTTAGAGGATTTGAATTATCATTCAAAACAAACAAACTTGCTTTTTCCGAGTGTCGCAGAGTATGCACGAAAACTCCAATGTATTGAAATAAATTGCTTTGTCATTGCTAATGACGGAACCGGTCGCCAGCCAATCGCAGGGCACACATCGACGAACATTCATTCGCGCTCACAATCACGTGTCGTGCCCAATCAACCTGCTATGCGTCTTTCTGGAATGTGGAAGGATACCCGAGTACCTGGAGAACATGCAAACTCCACCCAAGGAAGGCCGGATCCAAAATCGAACCCTGCACTCCCTCACTGTGAGACAGACGTGCTAACCGGTCACCCACTGTGCCGCTCTCTGACTAAAATATTGAGTAAAAATATGTTGACCGCTGTTATTAATGTCAGGAGGAGGGGCGAGGGGGGGGGGGTTCTGTGGTCTCGCTTAGCTCTCCCCTCATTAGCGTCTCCTCTGCCAAATAAGAGCTCCGATCTGCCAACAGTGGGCGCAGTAATTCACGCAGGCGCTTAAATATTTACTTTGGGGAGCCGTCATCAGTCAGCGAAGACATGCGGAGCTCTCGGTGAGAATGACTGTTTGTCATGATGTCCCCCAGCTTTCCTCACACTTTGTCTCGAGAGTTTCACCAACCCGCTGCTCAATGTTCCATGTGCCGGTTGGACCGTGAAGTCGACCCCAGGCGGCGGGCACCCGAAACTTCCTTGCTTCCGTCCCTCTGCCTTGCTCCTGCACGGATCAGTCCGGCCGCCCGCTGCTCCCTGATGTGGAAAGAATGAAATCCTTGAACCACGGTCACAGAACGGGTAGTACGAACAGATGTGTTAAGAGTCACAGCTCAGGTCAACCAAGAAAAAGTGACGCACTCCGCCCGCAGCAAATCCGGACAACACGAAAAGGGAATTGTGCGGTCCCCTCCAAAAGTATTGGGATGGCAAGGAAGGTGACTTTCTCACTTTGTTTTTATTGAAGACATTTGTGTTGTGTGTGTGTGTGTGTGTGTGTGTGTGTGTGTGTGTGTGTGTGTGTGTGTGTGTTTTAGTAAACATTTGTTTGATATCAAACTGACACAGTGACTGAGAATAGGAGTGCATTTCAAGCCCACTTTGCGCTTCACCTGAGACAAATCCTGGTAGATATCCCATCAGGGTGACCGTAATCCTACTTGAAAGTCCACCGTGACCTTCATCGGCTTCCAAAAGTGGTGCAGGAAATCAATAGCTTGTCAATTCCGCTGGGAATTGTTATCGTTACAATTTGCCATAGGTTGACGTTTTAATGGTGCGGGGAGAATTAAAACCTCATTTTTAATTGGACTAAAAGTCTTCCATTGCTTCTGGCGAAAAAGGTGCTTGACAGGCAAATTTGGAAGTCATCTGGAATTGCAGTTTTTCAGTGCAACGTTCCGATTGTCGAGTACTGAGCTCCACTTATAATTTCACCCATCGGCACTGTCGACAGAAATGATTATTCATAATCATAAATACACGGGCAATCTGGCTGGCTTTATTTTTAACTTTCAAAGGCACTGCCCGTGCCAAATTAAACTGTACATAGGAGTCGTGCGCGCGCAATTTTCAGCTTCCCTTTGACATCTCTTGCTGAGGGAGATGAGAGGAGCTGACACACAGAATTAAAAATATCTCTCTCAATAACACTCCCTCACACACTGTAAATTGAGGTGAGAGAGAGAGTGCGAGAGAGAGAGAGAGAGAGAGATAGAGCGAGAGAGAGAGGTGCAGCCAAGAATTTGAGGCCCTGTGAAAAATGGGGCCCATCACTTCAGTGCCACAAATTGAACAAAATATTTTCCATGGCACCTGTCAGTCACAGAAGCTTTGAATCATCATCAATTTTCTCCCCTTGCACACACAGACACACACACACACACACACACACGTGCACGCGCTCACGTTTCATCGCTGTCAGGTCTGTGAACAGGAAGGCGCAATGCCGCCTTCCCGGGTTTAATGGGGTGTCAGAGTTGCACCGACATTTCCCAAGTCGATTGTAGTTTTTCAATATCAACTCCAGACACACACACAACAACACATCCTCGAGCTGAGTACAGCTGCCATTTTGCACACCCCCCTTTAGCCACACGGTGATGGGGATTTCGCACTGGTTGACACGGGTGGGGGCGCTGTGGCGGTGCCGTCACCTCTGAATCTGTCAACCGCGCCAGCCTTACTTTCATGTCAGAGCCTCAATTTTAAGAAATGTCAGCGAGCACAGTGAGCCGGTCGTGCGGGGGGGTGGGGAGTGGGGGGGAGCTGCATCACCGCGGCCAAGACGGATACAAACACCTCAGCTCGGCACACCAGCTCAAAGCATCCGACAAAGCGTCGGAGGGAGAGCCAGACAGCGAAGGAAAAACCGAGTGAGCCATTGTGTTAGATTGGGAAACACCTCAGCGGCATATCAGTCATCACGGCAAGTCTTACTGCCTGTGTTGCCATGGCAATAGGGGACTGTCAGGCATCCTGGAGGGAGGATGGTCCAAATATCTACAGATGTCACTTACTTCAGGAGACAGAAAAAAATGGGGCGGGGGGGGGGATCTGCGTGGCTGTGTATGTGTGTTTGCACGTTCGCTGCCTATTTCACAGCAAATTATGATGAGCCGTCTTCTTTATGTGAGACGTAAATTCCTTTTAAAAAAAAAAAAAAGAGGCTGTTCAATGCCACTCGCAGTTGAAGTTTGCTGCCAAACAAGCCGAAAACACGGTGTGTGTTGACTAAAACCAAATTGCCTGAAGAAAGACCACGCTTGCCGAATGCTAATTCTACTTAGCATCTCCGTTGCAGTGCTTTTATCAATGGACTGAACACAAACGGTTGATCTGGCAATAGGAGAGTCCTGGCAGCCATCTGTACAGCTCATATGAGTGCGTCTTTTCACTGAAGGTCCGACTTGCTATCCCGTCGTGCCTCTTAATGTTGTGATGTGGTTCCTTCTGGCTAAACCATTTTAGACATTGAGCCCAAAGCAATTGGCTGTGAACATGTTGAATTTTAGCTTCACATGAACTTTTTTGTTGATGAGCCAGTCCATTGTCCTTCTCAGACACCTTAACAATCGGAGGCACGTGTAGCAAAAGTAAAAGTCATTGGGTCTCGAATTCCAAAACAGATGCATTTGCACTGATAAACAGATCCCCCCCCCACATTAATCATTTCGATCAGAATGAAGACTTTCCTGAGGAGGATTCGCTTGCGAAAATGTACGATCATACGAAAAGCGTTTGTGGCGTTCCTGCTTCGGTGAAATTTGCGTGTTTTGATGCAGGCGCACGGTGCTACACCATGCACCCGCTGGTGTTTTCCGAAATACGTGCGAGAATGTGTGAGTGTGGCAGCGGACGTCCAAGTGTTTCCGTAGCACCTGAGCTACGTCATCCCTCCAATGAGCTCTGGCTCTCGCCCAGAGTGTCCTGTGAGGTCGACGTGACCGCGCTCCTTCTTGATAGGAGGCATGTCGTTGGCATCCGAATCAGATGCTTGAAGCGCCTCGGATGCAGCAGCCGCTCCATTCCAAGCGCCTCCCGGGGTAACTGGATTATGTCACTCCGTCTGTTAGCATTAATCCGGATAATTTGGCTGTCAATTATTTTTGGGCATCCTTATCAATATAAACCTGGACTGCGGAACCTCCAAACTCACATTCCTTTCAAAGCATGGCACACATACACACACACAAAAAAGGCAACTAGCTCCTGAAAAGATGTGAGTCTGCTTGCTGGCTACTGTTGACATGCTCTTGAGCAAAGCATTGTCTTCACCACCCCAGATGGAGCGGTATGGGCGACTTTCAGCACGAGCACCTCTGTCATTCTGTATCGCTCGTGTATGTTTTCCCCCTCTGCTGTGGTGTGTAACACAACGTATAATGGACATCGTAGTGTGTGTTGAATTTGCCCTTGAGGGACACCGATGAGAAAAGCAGATCGCCGCCTAAAAAGATTCAATGAAATCCACGTCTCTCTGTCCTGGCGATAGAGTAACATACATTGTGTGGGAAGCCTACAGCACCAATTCAGAACAGACGTTATCTTGCAAATATATATATATATTTAAAACAAAAAAAACAAAAAAAAATTTGGTATACGTCCAGATGCACAGTAGTAAAACACATTTGATATTTTGGTTTGTTTGGTCAATTCCACTTCCCAAGTGGTTGGTTGTTCCCACATGAAACCACGTGTAGGCTGCCATTCACACACCAAGAGGCAATGTGCACAATCCGTGGATAAAAGATGCAAATTTGGACAAAACATGCCCAAAACCGCACGCCATCACACCTTTTCCCCGAGTTGGTTGGAATCTATTTTTAAACCTCACACCGGTTGTTGTTGTTTTCAAAAAGCTTACAGTGCTCGAACGCTGAAATAGCGTTGGGGGGGTAAAAAAGACCAAATTCTCGCCATGCACGCTTGGTGCAGCCGCAGCTATTTTTAGCCGGGAACGACATCTCCTGCGACTGCAGACGCTGAGGGGAAATCACCCGCGATGCGTTGGAGCCGCTTTCACCCCAAATACGAGCCGCCGCATCCGTGAGAGCCTCTTGCAGAGGAAAGCGGCGTCTCCTGCACGACTAAGAAATGCTGCAGATGCATGATGGAGAAAAAAAAGCACGTCATGATATTTTGGGCGTCGCGGCGGCCAGTGGCGGGATGTTGTGATTGTCACCATTTTGCAAATTGAAGGTAATCCCTGACAGTGGCAGTCACCAGCAACCCTTTCACCCTCATGTGATCGCACTACATATGAGAGAGGGGGGGGGGTCGTGAGAGAGAGAGAGAGATGTTCACTTTTCTGACAACACACCAAATATCGTCAACCTGTGGCCAGGGGCGCGCACGCCCCCTCCCTCTGCCCCCCCCTTCTCCCCCCGCTCCCTTTTCCACACTTTCCACGGACCCGTGAAGTAGGAGGGGGGTGCGGGGGGGTGGCGAAAAATTCCGAGCAGAAAGTTGAAGCGTCGTGCGCCATCCCCGCTTCGTGAATGGCCCCGTTATGGAGGAGATGCCGTTCCAGAGAGTCAAGAGGCGGCGGAGGAAGGGTCGCTGCCCGGCCGCCGCACCGCTGGACGCCATCGCGTGCGAGGACGAGTTCAACAGCCACGAGCTGGAGGCTCTTTTCCAGAACTACAACCTGAAGCTGGAGCAGACGGCCACGCTCAAGGCGCTGGCGGTGCTGATCGTCGCCGCGTCGTCGCTGTCCCTCGTGGAGCTGCTGTGCAACCCGCGCCTCAGCCTCTCCAAGGGCTCCAACCCGGTGCACTGCGTGGTTTTCCTCTCGCTCTTCATCGTGACCAACGTGAAGTACCTGCAGGTGACGCAGCTGCAGCAAACGGCCAAGCTGGCGCTGCTCTTCAGCTTCACCTTCGCGCTGCTCTGCTGCCCCTTCCCGCTGGCCCTGGCCACGCCGGAGCCGGCGGGCTCCCCCGCGCCCGAGCAAGGCGTGTGGCAGCTCATGCTGGTCACGCTGGTGGCGTACACGCTCCTGCCGGTGCGGACTCTGCTGGCCGTGCTCTTCGGCGTCATGCTGGCGACGTCCCACTTTATCGTCATCTCCACGTCCATCACCAGGAGGACGCGCGAGCTGTGGAGACCGGTAAGTGCTGCGCCCGCGTGTGCCCCCCCCACCCCACC